CTTGGGGCCAAAGACCTGATTTGGTGTCACTATCGCCGAAGCGGGTCGATATGGCTCTCAACCCATCTTTGCATGTCGGAGGGGTTCCCGGAGAGCGACACGGCCATGGACCGGACTTCTCTCAGCCCCCCATCGGCCCACGATGCCCTTTGCAGCCAAGAATGCACCCGTCAACGGGTGGCGCGTCCCAGCCTGTGTGCGATTGGGAGAGGAGGGGTTCACCCTCACAAAGATGACAAGGTCCGGAGACCGTGAAGCAGCAGAAGGGGTCCTTATTGGGGCAGCCATTCTGCGCGGAACAGGGACCAGTCGGCCGGGGGCCAGCGAACCCAGTCGTCCGGGCCCCAGTGAACAAGCATTCGATCCAGTCTGTGCCGCATACGGCGGGGACTTTGGTGTTGCATCGCATCGGACGGTTGGTGGGATGCCCGTACGTAAGCCCTTACGGATGCAAATTGCTGCCCTGGGAGTGTTGCAGTATTGCCCTCCGGTAGAAGCTTGTTGGTTGAAACTGGTGGAGGGACAGCAAGACATACCGTGGTACATACTTGAAGAAGGGGTTCCTGAGTGGAATTGTGCAGAGAAGATAGGGTGGTTGCTGCGCCGTTGAAGATATATGACCGGGATCATGGGTTATGGACCCGTTTCTGGGGTCCTGGACACCACCCATTAGTTGGAAGAAGGGTTCGCATCCCTGTCGAGCACTTCGTCCAACCTCCGACGCACGAGAATACAACGGGCGATGAGGTGAGCGAAAAGCCTGAGTTTGGCAATTGCCAAATGCGCGTGTTGTTGAAGCCCTGTTGTCAAAGTCTCATCGGGGTTGGAAAGGGGACGAACGATATTGGTCAAAGTCTCTTGATCGACAACCACATCTCGGTGAACTCTTCAACTTTCTCTTGATTCTTCGTCCTTCACAACTTTCATTCTCACCACCAACTCTGATTCAGTCGTTAACAAACATCCAAAATGTCATCCCCGAAGGAAGTTGTCTCGGACAACGTCCAGGAGACTTCCTCCGCCGACCAAACACCAAACCCAGTTGCGCCCTCCAGCCGCGATGAGCCAAAGGAGAGCATCGAGGACGTCAGCGAGCCCGTCCCTCACCTCCACGCAAAGACTTTCTTGACCGTCTTCGCCGTCTGTGTCATCTACTTTGCCCAGCTTATCAATGTCGTCGGCGCAGGAGCAGTACGTGTCCAACGTCGTCTCCCAAACTAAATCTCGAGATCGAAAAACTAACACTTCCAACCCTCAAGCAAACCCAAAACCTCGCCGCCGTCCTGGGCGACAGCTCAAACAGCGTCTGGCTGACCTCCACAATAGCCATCATGACCGTCGTCCTCTCCCCCATCGTCTCCCAGGCCGCAGACTACTGGGGCCGCCGCTGGTTCCTCATCGGCCTCACGGCCTGCGGCATCGTCGGCTCCGTCGTCGTCGCCCGCGCCACCTCCATGGCCATGGCCATCGCAGGCTTCACCATCACCGGCTGCTCCTATGGCGCCCAGCCCCTCCTGCACGCCGTCGCCTCCGAGGTCCTCCCGCGCCGCTACCGCCCCTGGGCCCAGGCCGCTGACAACCTCTCCGCCGCCCTCGGCGGCTTCGTCGCGCTGCTCGCCGGCGGCGCCTTCACCCACAACGGCAACGCCGCCGCCGGTGTCCGCAACTACTGGTACATGGCCACCGCCGTCTACGCCGCCGCCACTCTCCTCGTCCTCGCGCTGTACAACCCGCCCAAGACGGCCAAGCAGACGCAGTTTACCTTCTCGCAGAAGCTCGCCAAGCTCGACTGGGTCGGCTACGCGCTCCTCTCCTCTGGGCTCGTCCTCTTCTGCATGGGCCTCTCGTGGTCGCAGAACCCGTACCCGTGGACCGACGCGCACACCATCGCCCCCTTCGTCGTCGGCTGCGCGCTATGCGCCGCCCTCGCGCTCTACGAGACGCGCTTCAAGACGGACGGCATGTTCCATCACGGCCTCTTCCGCCGCGGGCGCAACTTCCCCATCGCGCTGGTCTGCGTTTTTGTCGAGGGCCTCGTCTTCTTCGCGGCGAACAACTACTTCGCCTTCCAGGTCGGCGTGCTCTACGAGACGGACGCGCTGCGCACGGGGCTGCGGTACGGCGTGACGATGATTGTGTACGGCGTCGCGGCTGTTCTGGCTGGACTGTGGTGCTCCAAGACGAGAAACGTGCGCTGGCCCACTGTTGTCGCGTTCGTGTCCATGATTGTCTTCTTTGTGTGCATGGCGACGACGACGCCGACGACCTCGGAGCCTGTTTGGGGGTACCCTGTGTTCCTGGGCATCGGTCTCGGAATCTGTTTGTGTACACTGGTCACAGTAGCACAGCTTTCTACACCCCCTGAGCTGATTGCCATCACGAGCGGTCTGATGATCGGTGTCAGGTCGCTGGGCGGCTCTGTTGGTCTTGCAGTTTGTAAGGTTCCCCCAATACGTCCGCGAGACGCAACTACTTGAAGTTGAAGGGATTGCTAACATGCACTGTTCCAGACAACGCGATCTTCACGGACCAAATGTCACACATGGGAACCAACATCGCCGCCGCCGTCCTCCCGCTCGGCCTACCCCAGTCATCTCTGCCGCAGTTCATCGGCCTCCTGGCCGCGCAAGACACCGCCGGGCTGGCGCAGGTAGAGGGCGTCACGGTCGACATCATCCAGGCCGGAGCGGGTGCTCTGCTGAAGACGTACAGCCTCGGTTTCCGCTTCGTTTGGATCGCGGCTGGGTCCATCACCGTTGCCGCTGCCATTGGTAAGTTGTACTTTTACTTGAATACTAGTTCAGGCGCGCTAACGGCAATCATGTAGGTGCTTTCTTCTTGGTGGAGCTCGAAAACGAGTTCAACATGCACATTGACGCGCCGGCGGAGAAGGACGATGAGTTGTATTCCAACAAGTCGTGAGGGCGTTTCCCATGGTTATTACACCACAAGACTTTAATCCGAGCCGCGCTTGGAACCATGGCCACGGGCTATTAATCATTAATTAAATTGTCACGAGACTTAGATACGACGGTTGAGATAGTTACGAGAATGATGAAGCGTAGTTTGCACCATTCGAGGCGCCGTAACTTGCACAACTGGACCACTAACTCGTCTGAGGAAATCCAGTTCGTCCACGCAAGAAAATGACAGCCAAACGCAAAAAAGATTTTGTCTTCTTCGCCCCAAAACCCGTCGAACCCATGCCAATATCGCGTAGCAAATTCTGCAACTCGGTGACCAACACCAAGTCGCATTTCCAAGTTCCCAGTCCTGCAGACATCGTACGAGGTTGCATATACCAATGTCGGGGCAGGGTGGAACCGTATCCGTACTTTTGTCGCTGTTGGTGCCAGGTTGAGCAAGAAGCCAGCGAAGAAGAAGCAAGGGCAGGGGCCGGGATGCATGTCGCGAGAGATGTGGATATTTCTGAGATCGGAAAGTGGCCCCTCCTTTTCTGCCCTGGTCCCGCGTCCTCGTAGGGATGCCGCCATCACCCACCACAAGCAATGTGCCTCTGGGAGCATTCAACTTGAGAATGGACGGTATTTGTGTTTATCACACCTGTACGCTTGTACGGTCGTCGTTGGGATGGCGTCCTGCCACAGGTGCAACTGTGAAAGTTCATACAAGCATATTGCCCGCTGCGATCAGTGGACTGCCGAGAGCAGGGGATCCTCACTAGCCTGATTTCCATGTTCCGGGGAAGCGCGAAACTCTATCTCTTGGGAATTTTCTCCCCGGCAATTGCTGTTCTAGAACTGTCATGTTGCGATGATCACGCAGCCACAACTTACGTCGTCTCATCTTGCAAGGTGGAAGAAGGAGAATGATTTCCTTTCGGGGGAGGATTGGAAATGTTGGCTGGGGGTTTTCAGAGTTGGATTTGGGGCTGGTTCGGTGGGGGTTCGGCTATTCTATCGGCTCCATCTGTGACCTTTTGGTCGGCAAGGGAGTCTGTCAACGACTGGTTCACAGGATCTCGTATGTTGACGACCCGCCGAGGAGGATGTTCCGATGCAGGGGCCGGAGAGTGTCCTTGGTTTTACAAGAACCGTTCCTGGATTTACTCGGATGGAATATTCGCCGCACAGGGCCGATGGAGGCCAGAGGCAAGCCTCATGGCTCGGGTTCTCGTACTTCGCATTCATGTGAAGTAGTCATCATGAACTGGCCGATGACCTAAGGAAGAACTCCGGCAGGCGACAGCTGGGTGAAACGTCTCTGCAGGGCATCATCGCGTTGACGGATGGTTTCCCTGCCCTTCGGGCAAACTTGGACCCCGAGATTTCAGAAAGCACCTTGCAGCTGAGTGTACACAGCCACAGGGACGTAACAGTGCATACGTAGATGAGACGCAGTAGATGTCCTGGAGTGCTGGTCGACCAGCGCCGGCAGACTCCCGTTAGAATCCCTCCTAGAGCAGCGTAGAAAATGTGTTATGAAACACGCCAACCGAGAGCATTGTACAATTCTCTCCTCAATTGTGCAATGATACTCAAAAACGGCCCTTCATGGAATCGATCGCAATACCGAGATCATTGAAATCATCATTGACAAGTGTCTCGGCTTTTGGCGGGGCACTAATCCCGTTCCTGAACTTTTGGAGATGAAAGAAGACGCATCAGGATGCACGTGCTTTTGACCTCGAATATGGGACGGACATTCCTGCATGCGGCGGTTTCTCCGACTACGTCTGAATTAGCGTATGGCCTTAGTTCTGTGCAGCTCTTAGACAGTCCCGAGAGGATTGTGGTTGTGAATCCGATCTGATGATGTCATCATTCTCTGAGCGATCAAGGCGTCATCACCACATACAGACGGATAGTACGTCAAAGATGACGCGCATCAGAAGCAGATGCTCTCTTGTAGGATACAGGAAATCTGTTTATATGATCTTGGAGCGTCCCTGGAGATGGTGACATTAACTCACCCGCTTAATATTACGCTTCACTCAAACTGAACCTCAACTCAATATTGAACTCTTCATAAACTTCAAAATGGCCTCCAACAACCCCATTCACAACGCTGCATCCGCCGCTGGCGAGAAGAAGGACACAAACCCCTCCAACCCTAGTATCATCTCATCTGAGGGCGCCATTGGCAAGCAATTCAATCCCGATGGTAACATCGGCCAGATTGGTAAGAAAGCAGCATCACTTACCACGAGCATAATGACTGATAGGAATACAGGTGAGAAGATTGGTGGTCCCTTCTCCAAGGACGGTGCCATTGGAAGCCAGTTCAACGCCAGCAAGGGCGGTATTGCGGGCACTGTCGAGAAGGCTGTGGATGGACCCAGGAACCCGGCGAAGAAATAGAGGATTGACAATGAAGTATTGTACACAGAAATGAGAGCTGCATGGAGTAGCGAGGATTATAATACAAAGATCTCGGGTCAAACACACAACCACATATCCCTAAAATTGATGCCGTTGATTGAACCATTCGTGATTTTGTCTCTCGAATTACGAAATTCATTGTGTCATATGCCTCTGCCTTCAAAGGTCGAAAATGTTAGCAGTTCCTCTAACCTATGGCGTGAATGTAAGACGTTTATTCTGAATTCCTATTTCGTCACACTCTGAAGATGGATTGTCATATGAGTCTACAGCTTCACTCAAACTTTAGTTTCGGATAAACTGCCCACATATAGCCTGCGGTATTTTCAACTTGCTGTGACGAAGAGCCAGCACAGTTCTCAATTTGTCTTTGGCCCAAATGTTCACTCTTTACTAGTCACCAGCACGCATAGTATGCAGATCTTGTTTGCGAGGAGCTGAGGGTATCTGGTTCTACAAATCGTACTCACACGCAGTTACAGCTACTCACGAGTAATGATTGCAGAGACGTGAGCCCCCTGATCTCGCGCTGTCGGTACCAGCCGCCTTGGCTTCGACTTGCCCCAGAGTATGTGGAAGGGCGCTGACTCGTGCCCAACATACTCTCTTTGACTAAAGAGCTTAATTTGGACAACAGCTTTTAAGAGTGTTATTGTATCTTCATGTCAATCTCAACGAAAAGTTGTTTCTCTATAAGCGTGAGTTGCCGTTTTTCGATTTCGATCTTTCTTAGTAATTATCACCAGCGACTTCGTTCTCGCACCCCAGATCAGAAGAATATTTGGTAGAATACTCAGAGCATCCTGTTAACCGGCCCACTCTACACCGAACAGTCATCTGGTGATATCGGATTCCTTAATGACCGCCTAGCAATGACTGATAAGTTCCTGACGTGGAGCAACTTTGTCAGCTCACTCTCCATAAGTAACGGAAACTACCAAAGCACCACAACGACTGCGATCTGAAAAGTATCTCATCCGATATCGATGTAATAAGCCTCGGACATTGACAGCAGATGATGTTTTTTGCTCGTACTCCAGAAGTGGACGCAGGGGGATCCTCATGGCCATGCCGCGGAGACCTTTATGCATCACGGTAAGAAAATGCTTAATATCGAAATCAGCTGATACTACACGATGCGCTTAGGCGGCGCGAAGCCCTGCACTGAGTGCTTCGGCGCAAACATTTGAGCTCTACGCGGACTTTTTCAAGGATTCTATTCCTTTGGGACCCCATCCCTGCGTGTGCCTAATGTCAGCGTTCGCAAGGTTGACCTTTGAAGAGTGGCTGGAAAGCGCGATCATGGTGATGAGTGCCACGTAACTGGGCTGGTAGAGTAGCATTCGGTGATATCGCAGGCGAGACTGGTTGGGGGCGCTTTCTTGCACAGACGGACACAGCTCCGTGCCGACTTCCTTGTATTCCCAGATTTTCTTTTTGCGGAGTCAGGGGTCAAGATTGGGTATGGCCAAAACCAAGGTGGTCGCAGTTGGCACAATACTGGATGGCGGCCCACGCCGATGGTACAGGCACTCCATCAATCCTTCAATTGCTATAGCGGACTATAGCGTCTTTCTCATATCATATGCCGAAGCCTTATGCCTCATTGCCATGATTGATATCCTTTGGAATACCCCGACGTAGCAGGTGGTAGGTCTTCCACTTTATACCAAGGCAGCGTTCAGGGCGAGGTCTGGCAATCGCAAGGAGGGGATGGAGCCAAAGTCAGAACTGGCTAAAAGGGGTCGCCTAAGCCTTATGATGGACCAAAAGAGGCGAAGGTGTGGTTGGTGCGGAGCAAACCGAACCAACTACTCTGCTCATGATTCAGACAAACGCCCAAACTTCTTGATTTTGGCAGGAGCAGAAAGTTTCACAAATAAGAGCCGTTTGCACAAGAACCATGGTTCACTCACCTGTCAAAGTCCACGACCCTTCCGCCGGTCCCATACCAGTCTACTCAGGGAGGTCCACTTCCAAGGCGCATTTACAAATCTGAGAAGTGGATAGCGTACTAGGGCCCCCAAGCTCAGATCACAACATCCTCGAGCTGGTGTGATCATCTCCAGAGGAGTTTGGAGATTGCTGGGCATCTGGGCTACGATCCAAGCTAGGAAGTATCCCAAAGCAATCTGTAAAGCCCGACCGGAATTCAAAAGCTTCGAGAAGTCCCAAGAACACGGAGTTAGAAACAAGATCCTGCGATCGTTCGTTATGTGTCGCACCATCAAACGCATTGCTGCATCGAACCTACTTCCTGGGAGGCGGTTGGCCAACTTCCTCAGCGCCAAGGTTGGATTTGCAACCTGGTTGGGAGACGAAGCCCTCCTCGCGCAGGAAAACTCCCTTGTTCATATGGGGTCAGTACCCCTGTTTTTGGTGTTGACCCCGGAACAAGCTCACCCTGGCTTCGACCGGCGGGTGATCCGGTTCCACATCCCGGGCAACCTAGCCAGGCACAGGGACCCTGCCGACAATTTGAGACTGGGACCCCTTGATGCGGGCGATGCGAACAAGGAAAGCCCTCATCCGAATCTTCAGCATGCGGGTGTGCGACTGCATGCAGCAGCAGATGCGCTTGGCTAAAGAATTTCAATATGATGCTGGTCGAACGCCCCTCGCATGCATATTTCCTCGAGATCCCGCAGTCGACTCCATGATCATTGCGGAAAGTTTGCTTCTTCCCTCGCTTCTTCCATTCGAGTCTCTCGTTCCTTGCCCCTGATTACGCCAAGCGTCTTGTAAAAAGCTTCTCAAGATGGTCGCCGGACCGGCCGTCTCGGCTTTTGTGACAAGCATCGTTTTTACAAGTCTCTCTTTCATAGTTGTTGCGTTGAGGTTATACACCAGAATCATTGTTGTAGGAAATGTTGGAGTAGACGATTACTTGATTCCTGCAGCTTTGGTAAGTCGGCCTTCTAAGACGTTGCACGATGGATGGCCTTTGCTCACACTACTGAAACAGGCCGCATCTATTGGATTCTCAGTGGTTGTTATGCATCGTAAGCTGCCTCCCCTTCGACTAGAAAACGCAAAGCAACATGGAAGACACGTGCTTACCTACAGCACGACAGAGATCAAGTTTGGTTTAGGCATGCCGATGGCAACAATTACGCCAGACAATCTTGTGAGATTTCTTCAGGTAATACTCTTTCAGTCTTCCGCAGTTAGACACATCCAAGCATCTGACCATTGATATCAGTGTCTTTGGGCAACAATTCCCACGTACAACTTGGCGCTTCTGTTCTGCAAGCTTTCCATCATCTTCTCGTACCTAAGAGTCTTCAAGGTCGCGACGACACAGAAGATCTGCAAGGCAATGCTTGTCGTCCTCGCAGTTTACGGAGCATGGACTGTCTTTGGATCCATCTTCATGTGCGTTCCTGTACAGGCTTTCTGGGGTGATGGCACTGGCAGGTGCATGGATCGTTTGGCCTTCTGGTTCTCAAACGCGGCATTGAATATCGCAACGGATGTAATCATTGTCGTTATCCCGATCCCCTTGATCAGAACTTTGCAGATTTCAAGGAAGCAGAAGATTGCGCTCATCATGGTCTTCGCCGTTGGTGGCTTGTAAGTACCGGCGACTCACGGCTTCATAACGAAGCACAGCTGACGTTGGCTTAGTGTCTGCATTACCTCCATCATCCGCCTTCGATCTTTGTATGAGATCTCTATCTCTCCAGACACTTCAAGTAAGAAGCTCCCGATTATTGCTCATCCCCTCGCCTGTTAACAGTTAAAACCAGGGGACGGAGTCCACATCGCCACATGGTCTGGAATCGAGATCAATGTCGCCATCATCTGTGCTTCTGCTCCGGCACTCAAGCCACTCATCGCCAAGGCATTCCCCAAATTATTGGCCAGTACACAACGCAGCAACATGCGATCTGGCCAGCTCTACGGAAGGACCGCTGGCGAGTCCCATCACATGCAGTCCATGAAAAGCCGCACGGGCAAGAAGCCTAGCCATAACATCGCGATTGAGACGAAGATTGAAGTGATGAGCCACAACGGGAGTCAGATGGACCTGGTCAGGACAGGTGGGAATACCACAGTCGCAGAGTGCTACTCAACCGAGGAGCGTCCCCCAGCACAGGGCCGAAGCATGGTTTAGACTATCATAGCGTGCCAAGTCAAAGCCAAAACGATCCAAAATACAGTTCGTAGAGCTTGAAAGATTTAGAATTAATAAAGCAATGTGTCACATAAAGATGTCATTGGTCTCTTTTTGGGTATCTACCATATCCCCTACTTGCTCTCGCACGTCTAGAAGGTCTCTTGCGCCGGTCTCATGTCCAACTCATGCGTCCAGAGAGAACTTGGCTGCTGCGACAGCCATAGGTACAGTTCACCAACATCTTCCGCCTTCATTCTCTTGCCGGTGTTCGTGTCTTCGTTGACTTCATCAATGATCCCGCCATTGGCGATAGCATGGATACAGTGAACACCAAACTTGCTGTGCTCCTTTGCAATAGCCTGTGCCACCATCCTCGCCGCCGCACGAGAAGCACCGTAAGCAGCGTATTGCTGATTCGTGCGCATGGCCCCGAGGGTGCCCGTGAAGATGATGGTTCCCTTCTTTTCGCCATTTGTTTCGGCAAGCAACGTCTGGCCGCCGTTCTGGGCGTACATAAGCTTCATCGCCTCCTGAGCGAAGACAACGACGCCTGTAGTGTAGGTACTCATGCTGTCGTTGAATGCTTCAGCCGTCTCTTCCAGAAATGGCTTCCGGCTCGAGTTTTTCACATGGTAAATGGCAAGCTTCAGCTTGAGATCCTTGAAGTCCGGGTGATCGGCGATTTGCTGAAATGCACGCTTGAGATTGTCCGGCTGAGTGTCCGTCGGGAAAGGGTGTAGAATGCCGTTCGACGATTTTCTCAGATCAGAGGCAAGGTTCTGGAGGTTGTCCGCATTACGAGCTAGCAGTGCAACTGCGAGGTTGCCATGTTGTGGGCTGGCAAGTACACGGGCAATACCCGCGCCTGAAGTCGGCCCAGCGCCAATCAAGATTGCAAGACCTTTGGGTGCCATTGTGCTGAATGAGGATATTGTGAGATTTTAGAACTTGAGCTTTGCATAGAATTGAGTACACATGCCAATGCAGAATTCAAAGTATTCGAACGAACCTTTTATGTGACCTGTTCAGTATAAAACGTTCGGCTGGCCTGAAGAATGTCATCGATCATCCGATCGGTGCTACCGTGGCGCTCCATATTTGCCGGTGGGAGAGATCAGCACCATTCGGGGATAAGACATCATCCTGACGTTGAACAGCCTATGCCCGAAAGAGTCTCTGCAACCTGCTGACAGAGCGGAGGCGCTCGCAGCTAACCCGTCAAGGTCACATGGTTTTGTTCTTAGGAATGGAACGATTTGAAATTGTCTCCGGATAAGCACGCCTTCTGGGACTTTGGAACACCTTGAGCAATGATCCATGTTTCTTTGAGTGGTTTCTGCGTGAGGCAACGGAGCCCAGGAGTGGTCTCCGGGACAACCGGCTTTAAAACTACCGTCAGTACTCTCACAACGCCTGAAGGCTTTCCAGGCACCCGCGCGGTGCCAATTCGGCTTGAAATTCGAATCGTGGAGAACCGCCCGGATCCGGGCCCGGTGATTTTGTGGGACTCTGTGCGGTATTCCGGATCTCGAATTGGTAAACCGGGCGCCGCACTCACGGGGCCCGCACCAGGATATCGGATGACAAAACATGCTCAAACCCGTCGCAAGAACATTCTTACTCGCTACAGTTGGGGTCTTTCCATTTATCATTTATCTAAGATTATGTCTAACCGTGGGCGGAATGCGCTTCAATTCAGGACATTCACAGATCACACCATCACCAAATTGATGTTTGCTTTTTGTTTTTTCCGATTTAAGACTTTATTTGAGCCCAAATGCTGACTGTGCGAGTTCAGGTGGCATAAATATCTGCATGAAGGTACTTGTGTCATAAGAATAACGGTACCCATGGATGTCTGGCGGACCTTGCAGACAGACCCATGCGCTCATGCAGATTCTTCCCACACACGATTTAGCCCCAAATTGGTGATTCTTTGACAAAATAAAAACGCGCAAAATATCTCAGAGATAGAAAGGATAGATTCTCAAGGGCATAGGCATATCGCAGGGAAATCAATTGGATCTCAGGAAGGAGAATCGGCCCTTTGACACCTTGTGAGCATGGGACTCCACTCAGGCCGAGGTCGGCGACACTTGCTGTTCAGGTTGGGTAATGTTAATGATACTGGCGGGCCCTGGGTGTCACCCTTATTTATAATTCATCAAAAGGTCCGCTGTTTCCTCACAGTTGGTTGGATTAGGAATGTCTTGTCGAGAGCCTTTTTTGAATGAGGAAGTCCTCGACGACTCACAATTGAGGAACGTGCGCACTGTTCCACTTCCCCGGACCACGGTGGGTTCGATTGTCCGTTGCGATGCCGCTTTGCGGGGGACAGCTAGATAAGAGTTTTCGTGTTGTCAGCTATCCAAGATTGGAAGAAGAGTCATTGAAATAGACGGTCTGCAGATGCAAAATATGGGGGGGACTGGAATGGTTTCTCATAATCACAAAAGCCCATCACTCTATTCATAGAGCTGTTATCCTGAACAACAACCAGGTCTCCGGGATATGAGCTTACTTGACGACTCGCGGCGTTCCTCGTGAGACCAACTTAGTGCGGCAAGTCCGGGGTTGTGTCAGGAACTATCCCCGCAAAACCACGCGGGAAATCACCCAGACCAGTGGCAAAGCTGTCCGCGTCGCTATCAGGGGCGCTCGTAGATAAATAACAGCCATTTTGACACCCGGCTTGGCTTCGGCTGCCTGAAAGTCTCCCTTTACGACTTCCTTTTCCTCTTCCTCAAATATTACCATGGCAAAATCATCGAAATCAGCCAATGGCTCGCATGAGATGGCTCCCGTGCCATCTCATGTCGGACAGGTCCTCGAAGACCACTCGGTGACGCACGATGCTGTCTTTGGCGAGATCACAGCAGATGGACCCAATTATCGCAACGTCAGTACTCCTCTGAGTTGCGATTATCATTTTGAGAGATAGGTCATGCTGACAGCTTCTAGGTCGGGTGGCTAGGGACATCGGTCTTGATGATGAAGACACAAATCGGTCTCGGCGTTCTTTCGATGCCTTCCATCTTCGACGTTCTTGGAATCGTCCCGGGCGTCATCATTCTCTGCACCATTGCAGGAATCACTACGTGGTCAGATTACATGGTTGGAGTCTTCAAGCTTCGCCATCCACAAGTATACGGAATGGACGATGTAGGAGAGCTGTTGTTCGGTCGTATCGGACGCGAAGTCTTTGGTGCATTCTTCGTACTTTGTAAGTTGTCGTCGTCAGAACTAAACTTTCGAGAATCCTTCTGACAGCACAAGTCTTCACCTTTACTGCTAGTTCTGCCATGATTGGTGTTTCTACTGCCTTGAATGCCGTCTCCCATCATGGAGCTTGCACTGCCATATTTGTTGCTGTGGCCGCAATTGCTAGTTTCTCGTTAGCCAGCATAAGAACTCTGGGCCGCATTACATGGCTCGCATGGGTGGGAGTCACCAGTATTATGGTTGCGGGTAGGTTGCGACCCTTTCAGACCATACACGAAGAAATCTAACGTCCACAAAGTCTTCACCGTGACTATCGCTGTTGGCCTCCAGGACCGCCCTGCCGCAGCGCCTACCGACGGCGCATTCGTGTCTGACTTCAAAATAATCAACAACCCTACCTTTACAAAGGCCATCTCGGCCATCTCATCAATCGTCTTTTCCTACGCTGGAACTGGTGCCTTCTTCCCGATTGCGGCAGAGATGAGGGATCCTCGATACTACACCCGTGCTTTGCTCCTTTGCCAGGTCGTGGTGACTTCTGTTTATGTGGCTGTGGGGGTCGTCGTGTACTACTTCTGCGGCTCTTATGTCTCTTCGCCTGCCCTTGGCTCTGCTGGACCCTTGGTTAAGAAGGTCGCGTATGGTCTTGGTCTTGCTGGGCTGTTGGTCTCGTCAACCCTCGTAACTCACGTAAGAAACATATGTTCAAGTCCTTGATGTCTTACTGACATTTTCATAGTTGGCTAGCAAGCATGTTTTCGTCCGCATCCTCCGTGGATCGAGGCATCTCACTGCTAATACCGCTGTTCATTGGCTCACCTGGCTTGGGTCTACCTTTGGAGTCACTCTCGTAGCATATCTTGTTGCTAGTGGCATTCCCGTCTTCAACAGTCTTATCTCTCTCGTCGGTGCACTCTTGGGCACTTTCATGTCATTCCAGCCGATGGGTTGCATGTGGCTTTACGACAACTGGAGCAAGGGGAACGTCGAACCAACGTTGCGGTGGAGACTGATGGTGGTTTGGAGTGTATTTGTCATCGCATCCGGAACCTTCCTAATGGTTGCCGGAACTTACAGCACAATTCTTGGTATTGTGGACGACTACAAACAGACAGGTGGTTCTTCAGTGTGGTCTTGTGCCGACAATTCAGGTACAGTCTAGTGTCCAGGGATCAAGACGACAGAGACAATTAGCCGAAAAATTCCGTTCAACCTCGTTGAAACATACAGCTATTCACTCGAATGATATTTGACAAGGTTGTCCAGAATCGGTCTGATGGCTGACAGTAGGCTATGACATTAGGTCCTTATCGTGAAGGGATAGCAAGGGGCTGGGCTAACGCGTGGTCAACCAAGTTAGGGGGCTTGATGATAGCTCGGAAGATAACAAACGTCAAAACATGACATGCCCGATACGATAGATTGTGCAAATGCCTGTCTTCCCCGTACCTACCCCAGAAAATGTTACGCTCCACCTTGCTGTACCTGCTTCATCAGGTTTTCCGATTAGTTCTGGCGTGTCCCCAGACACTAACTCACAGAATCTCCACCTCGTCGCGGACACATTCCTCTTCGAACTATGCTGTCTCCTAATCCGTTCTTCAGAGACAAGGTGAGCACGCCTGCCTGCCCACATAATGAGACAGTGCAATACGCCAATTACGCCGGATACGCCGCGTCACGATGTCAATGGCTTTCATGAATTTGATTTCTCAAGTTTTGAAATGCCTATCTGATAAGATTAAGAAAGCATGAACGAAGTAACAAAGGCTCCGAAGAAGGCTATGCTAAGTATAAATGATGAAGTTTATTCTCTTCTCTGAGACCGTTCATTCACTATTCGTGATCACTCCAGCCTAAGTTGCGTTTGCTCGGATTGGTGTTGCGCTTTTTCATCAGGCCGACTGCTTGAACCCGACATTCTTGACCGAGGCTCGCCGACGGCCCTGGCACATTGGAACATGGAATCTTCCATGCGGCAAAATAACCCCGAGGACACGGAAATCCCGAACGGATTTCACAAAAGCTAGTATCTCAGATGTATGAACCATAGCGCAAATACACCTATGGTGCCGGAGGCGAGGGCCCTATCTGTCCCATACCGCAACCCATTCCAATTGGGAGGGCACTCGATGCTAGAGCATGGCCGAAGGCAAAAGACGATTTTGAGTGTCATTTCCATCCACTTCGATAATGCGTTCGATACTTATAATGAGTCTTGCCATCCGGGTGGAGACTTCTAGCTAATCGGGCGGATCACTACCTATATTAGGTCTAATAGTTGATTTTATCTTACTCTACTTTTACTATTATTGTCGCTTTTCCTATCCCTCTCTCTATCCTTGTCGTTATCGTCGCTATCATCGTTATCTTCGTCGTCGTTGTTATCGTTGATTATCTCTTAAACATCTACTACCCGCCCAGTTAGCCAGAATTATCCGCCCGGATAGCAAAACTCCTTATGTCTCCTCTATCTCCATCTCCGACCGGCTGCCTTGGCCTTCGGCAACAGTCCGGGTTCTCCGTGATGCCCTGAGAACCATGTCTAATGTAATAGCTCCGTCATCGTATTAAGGAATGGCGTGATTGGATTTGCTTACAGAATGTACCCGAGAAAGTGCATAAATCACCTCGCATCCCGAATACTGCTTCTTGTGGTAGGCTTACCATGAATGCATAAATGCATATGCATGGGATAATGCAGACGGCAAATTCGCCATTCGTATACGCGTAGCTTTCAAGCTCGCGATTGCTTTAGAAAGGATGGCTTGACATCACTCGGACAAGGACGAGCAATTGCGACATGGCGGGGTTAATGATGACAGCACAGGCAGCTCCAAGCTATGTTCTCGAAAATTTTCCGTGGTCTGATAAACGTGAGATTGCTTTCCCCATGATCAACACCAGGAGTCTGGCCGCGCTGCTGTCATAAAATGAGTACTGCAGATGTCACCTCAAGGATGCTCAGCTGGGCGATTTCAACGCTGAAGATTTCTATCGTCGCACTTCTGTCACTTTTGATTCCATATCTGATCCAAAATGAGTTTGCACGCTTCCGAAGCCGAATCAAAGGTCTCCCGGGACCTCCGGGCTGGCCTGTAGTCGGGAATCTATTTCAAGTATCTGCGAAGCTCCTCCCGAAAACAGTGCTAAATTGGGTTCTAACTTCATACCAGAACTCCAAAGAGGCTCCTGCTGAGACATATCGGAAGTGGGCAGGGATATACGGACCCGTCTTCCAAATCCAACTTGGCAACACCACCGGCGTGGTCGTTAACACGGCCGAGTCTGCAAAGCAACTCTTTCTAGGCCAGCGCCATGCGATGAACTCCAGACCAACATTTTACATCTTCCACAAGAAAGTCAGCAAAGCTGTGACAAGTATCGGTACAAGCCCTTGGGACGAATCTTGCAAGCGTCGTCGGAAGGCTGCTGCTGGTGCACTGAACCGTCCGCGTGTAGAGAGCTATGCACCGATTCTTAACCTAGACGCAAGAGAGTTCCTCAGAGATATCTACTCGGAAAGTAGAGATGGCTCAATAGCGATCGATTTTCGCCCAGCTGTCCGCAGATTCGCGCTCAACCTTAGTTTGACCCTCAACTACGGCACCCGCGTGTCCAACGTGACATCTCTCAAAGATGATCCCTTGCTGGCCGAAATCATTTACGTAGAGTCAGAGATATCTAAGTTCCGAGACACCGGGAAGAACTATGCCAACTACATCCCTCTTCTTCGGTATTGGGAACCAGTCGCCAACGCTTTTGGTCTCAATTCCAGCCCTAAGGACCATGCTACTAATATTGGACGTCGAAGGCTAGAGTACAATGATGTTCTACTGGACAAGCTGAGAGGAGAGGTCGAACGAGGAGACGACAAGCCTTGCATCCAAGGGGCTGTGCTGAGAGACCCGGAGTCTGCAACACTTACTCGGCAGGAGTTGATCAGCGTTAGCTTGAGTATGATGGCAGTAAGTAATCTTGAAGCAATGGGTTAGGCTAGGCTCGGTTTCCACCTGGCGTTCTTGATGTTCAAAAACTAAGATCTCGTAGGGTGCCGATTCCAGTCAACCGACCCTGGCTTGGGCCATTCTCCTCCTGGCTCATCGTCCCGACATCCAGAGCAAGGCATACGAAGCAATTAAAGACTCGGGACTCTTGCAGAAGCCGTCCAATTCTTATGCGTCTACCAAAATTGATTACATAGATGCTCTGACGAAAGAGATCGGTCGCTATTTCGTTGTCCTGAAGCTCGCCTTGCCGAAGGCAACATACACCGACGTCACTTGGGGCTCCGCAACAATTCCTGCTGACACCCTCGTGTTTCTGAATAGCTGGGCTTGCAATAGAGGTGAGCTTCATTACGATACAGATGTGGTGGCGTTCATCTAATGTGGTCTTAGATTCAGATTTGTTTGCCGAGCCCGATGTCTTCGCCCCTGAGCGCTGGCTCCCCGACGCACCTGACCAGTACGCTCATCAATTTGCTTTCGGCATCGGCGGGCGCATGTGCGTTGCATCTCATCTAGCGCACAACTCCCTGTACACAGCGTTTCTTCATCTGATTGCACACTTTGAGATCTATCCCGCCGATGGGCAATCTTCCGATGAGATAGATCCAATCAAGGGCTTGAAAGGACTGGCGTTTGTGGCGACGCCTAAGGGCTCTCGGGCCCGGTTCGTGCCAAGAAGGGACATGGAGTTGGAAAGTCTGCTCAACAGCCGCGAAGATGGCACAGGTTAATGACCAGTGGCTCAGCTAGCGGTTGTGGGCACCATATCAAGCACAATTCAGTGGTAGAAGAGGGTATAACTCGTTGTCCCCGTATCAAGTTCTTGAGATGTCGCATATTATCCCGCTGGTTGATTTACCGATGTCCAAGCGCCCAAAAAACGCCTCAGTGGTAAACCGTCCAGTGAGATGGGGAACATCCCAACTTCGGAGGTAGCCTGCAGATAAGGTGCATGAGCCCCGAATACTGCAGCAATTCGTAAGCACACTTTGCGACGGTCGGGCGAGATAGAAGCCGGATGTCGCCATAGTTTGTGCGGGCCGTCTTTTGCCCCACATAACGATCATCATTAAAAGCTGAGGTCATCGACCTACGAGGCAGTCTTTATTCAGTAACTACACCACCACATGTCATTCACCACTTAGTCTCTAGAGAAGAATCGCATGAAAAATATCGAAAAATGGCCTCAGCATCTCTGCAAGCTGCTGACTTGTTCAGCGTCAAGGACCTCATTGTCGTGGTTACAGGCGGTGGAACAGGTATGCCATCGTCGTTCATATTTACGTCATCACGGGACCCTGAAGCTCACCTCTGAACCACCAATACAGGCATCGGACTCATGATTGCACAGGGTCTTGAAGCCAATGGAGCCATTGTGTATATCATCGGAAGAAGACAGGAGGCCCTGGATAAAGCCGCCAGCACCGCTGTATGTACTCGCACCTCTCTCTCAACCACTGCATGTGACCGCGTCTGACGTGCTATCCATGGCACAGAAGCATGGAAACATTCGCACCATTCAGGGGGATGTTACCTCCAAGTCAGATCTTGAGAAGGCTGTTTCGCAGATCAAGTCGGCACACGGCTACGTTAATGTCGTCATCGCAAACTCAGGTATTGGTGGCCCAGCGCTGAAGGGCATGCCGGCAAACCCCTCCATCTCTCAGTGGCGCGACTTCGTCTGGAACTGGGATCCCGAAGAGTTCACCAAGACTTTCGCAGTAAACGCTACTGGTGTCTTCTTCACTGTGGCGGCGTTTCTCGAACTGTTGGACGAGGGAAACAAACGCAGTAACTTCAAGCAGCGAAGCCAGGTTATCGCAACCAGCAGCATTGGGGCGTTTAACCGGCAGCCCATGGGTTTCGCGTATGGGGCGTCCAAGTCGGCGGTGGTTCACATGATGAAGCAGCTCTCCACGGTCCTGGTCCCGTATAACATCAGGTCTAACGTCATCGCACCCGGCTTCTATCCGAGTGAGATGACGACAGCAACGGTCGAGCAGCACAAGGACGGATGGCCAAAGGCAACGATCCCTGAGGAGAGAGCTGGTGATGCAGAGGATATGGTCGGTGCGGTGCTGTACTTGGTCAGCAGGGCCGGCGCTTACACCAACGGCAACGTGCTCATTTCAGATGGTGGCAGACTCGCCGTCGTGCCATCCTCATACTGAGATGGACGTACATATAAGCATGATTTCATGTGCGAAAAGAGTTAGCCAGCTTGAAAACAGATGAAAATGCTAATCGACTTTTGATGTCAGACTCAATTTTCCCATGGGTGCCAGCTCGGTGTTTCGGAGAAGATGAGGTTGCATTTTAGGACACCTCTCCGTACTCCGATGAAGTGGAAATATACATTAGACATTTGCGAGAATTCCGAAAGCGAGTGTAATGCGACGGTGTCTGTTCTAAATTCCATGTGTCTTCCTGTTGGCGCTTAGAGACCCAAATGGGGCAGGCCCGATAAACTGTTCGTGTCCCAGAGTGGATTAGTGATATGGTGATGAGATACTCACATTGAGCATTGAAACCTGGAAATCAGTTACTGAGATCAGCTCGTAGTACTTTCGTCGAAGAAGCATCAACTTCTTGGTCTTGTCCACCAATTACGGCTCTTAATACAGTCCAAATCCAAAGTTGAGACTTGGAAGTGATGGAGGGATATTGACCGTACTCGGGTCTCGGGTTTCAAAGTGCGAGAAATCTGTAGGTTCAATACTAGACCCGCATTCATGGACTAGACTAAGTCCAGCAGGTGACGAGGGCGATTTTCTAGTACATTACTGCAAGTTCGAAGCCAATTGTTGACATTCTTACGCGTCTTCACTGAGAAATTAGCGTTACCGTCCGAGTACGAGAGTTTCTGTTGTCTCTCTTAATAGATAGGCACACATACATCCTTGCAAGGACCGAAACCGACAAGAAGGACTCCAACACACGATCTACGGAACAATTATCAATGTCGCAAACTAGCAATTTTGATTGATTGAAATCCGTCGTATTCGTGTTAGTCGGTTAGTCGGCCCAAGCCGAGGTTTGGAGTTGGTTGGAGCAGCTCACACCGGTCTGAAGGGCTACCCCACAGATCATCCTGTACTTGACGAAAGCTGAAGTGCATAGTGTCACCTCACTAGATTGTTGTTTGCTTTTTAGAGGAGCCCCTCAGCATCGTGCGAGTGCCAATGGAATGCTTGGCGGGAACCAAGGGTGTGGCTGCCATCCTTCCCGCGCTCAAGGTTCTGACAGAAATTCTTGGCTCGGTCCATCATGCGACCTGCCAGTGAAAGATGGTGTGTTCGACCCGGCTCAAAAAGACCGACCAATCCCAGAGGATGTTTTCTCAGAACGTCCTAGCCATGCGAATGGCAACCCCTCAGTCAAGCCGGTGTCCAAATTCCATGACGAGCTTTTTGTTTTAGCGTAGATCGTCTATCTGCATGTCACACTAGTGCGCCAACGAGAGTCGCTTCTAGCCAACCACGATCCTTAGGTTACGTTACCCAGATGGAGTGTCTTGCATCGCCATGTCTGATGGGGTCGTGTTTGGAGATGGTGGGCGGCTCGTCCATGCGCCAGCTGAAACGGAAGACTTTAACCCCGATGCAAATCAGGTGGATTGGTTTTTAAGTACGCGGCTACCCGCCACAGACTTCGCGTGCGAGCAGTTGTAGTTGTGCGTTTCTACATTTTGTTTGGGTTTAGTCTTCTATCATGTTCAACAATCTCCCTTCCATTGCGCTTCTAGCGCTTCCGGCTCTTCTACTCTACCTCTACTCGGCTGTTTACTACCGCCGCTTCAAGCAGTTTGCGAACTACCCGCAGGTGAAACCATCGTTAGTATGGGGCCATCTGAAGATTACCAATGAGTTCCATCAGCGACGCGACGAGAAAGGATGTCAAATCGGTACCAGCCCCTCGTTGCGACTGTGAACTATTCTGAAGCCGCAAAACATTTCATCTGATACAATTTGACCGCTAGATCACGCTCTTGGGGATATGTGTGAGACAATGGGAAACCCCCCAGTCATGCTCTACGACCTCCGCCCCATCAGCCGACCAATGCTTCTCATTCGTAGCCACTGTGTGGCCGAGCAGATCTCAAGACAGTCCAAAATGTGGCCGTATAGTACGCCGAAGTCTGATACTATGGCATACCTCTGGCCCCTAGTTGGAAAGAAGTCAATTGTGTTGACAAATGTGAGTTCGGATCTTGCCATTCAACTACTGTGATGAAATTTACCAATGATGATTCAGGGTCCAGGTTGGAAAGATATGAGAAAACACTTCAACCCCGGGTTTGCTCCACAGCACTTAATGAGCCTGATGCCCGTGATTCTGGAAAATACTCAGACGTTTGTTGCTAAGCTTGACAAGCTTGCAATGACAGGCGAAGTCTTTGAACTTGAGCCGCTTTGTACCAATCTCACATTTGATATTATAGGTAGGTTTGGTTTGGTTGCTGATCATGACATTCTCGATATGATGACTTACGATTTCCCCATAGGTGCCGTGACCATGGATGTTGAACTAGGCGCCCAGCTCCCCGAAGAGCAGCAAGGGGACTTTATCAAGAGCTACAAAGAGTTCCTTCTCTCTTACAGAGAGAAAGGCGGCATGCTCAAGTGGTGCGAGAACCTGTTCTCAGACAGACGGCGCAAGGCTCTCGCCGAGAAGGTGGACGGCTTCCTCACAAATGTCATTCGAGGCAAGTTTGATGACATGAAGAAAACCAAGGCAGTATCCAGTCGGAGCATCTTGGCATTGAGCCTCAGCGACACCGATGTTCTGACCCAGGAGATCATTGACGGCACAAAAGACCAGCTCAAGACCTTCATGTTCGCAGGCCATGACACCACCAGTATCCTTCTGCAATGGGCGATATATGAGCTGTCCCGGACCCCGCGAGCCATGAAGACGCTTCGTGCGGAGCTGCAAGGTCTCTTCGGTCCAGATCTCAGCCCCGAAGCTATCCGCAAGGCCTTGTCACTGAAAGGAGATGAGGTTACGCAGAGGATGACGTACACGTCTGCCGTCATCAAAGAGACCCTGCGTCTCTACCCTCCTGCTGGGTCAGCACGCTTATGCCCTCCAGGATCAAATTTCCACATCCAGCTTCGAGATGGCAGCAGCCTCTGTGCAGATGGAATGATACTGTACAACTGCGCAACCCTGATCCAGCGTGATGTTGAGGTCTACGGGTGCACCAAGGACGACTTCGTGCCGGAGAGGTGGCTCGGGAACACCGATACGTCCATGGCAACGAACGACGACGAGAAGGCTGGCATCGGAAAAGCCGGCGAGAGTGAGATTCCGGCGGCAGCCTGGCGGCCCTTTGAGAGGGGTCCGAGGAACTGCATTGGGCAAGAGTTAGCGAATATTGAGGCCAGAGTAATTCTGGCATGCGTTGTTGGCGGGTATGATTTTGAGAAGGTTGGGTTGGGTGAGGCGACGCTTGGTGTCGACGGGAAGCCAATCATCAATGAGAAGGGCCAGCACCGGTCCAACACACAGCTCTATAATGTGAGTCTTTGCCTGGCATGCAGGTTTTCACTAGTAAACAATGCTAACGAACTGGGGCAGACGCGACAGGTCACAGCTCGGCCAGTGGATTGCATGAAAGTAAGGGTGAAGAGTCGAGACCGTTCTTCATAGTTTGCGGGGTCTTGGCCACTGGTGGAGACAAAAACATGGACAAGTGTAATTGGAACCGCGTGGCAGGAGGAGCATGGGGATCGCGATGAGCTTGATTCTGTGTGGTCAGTAGAATGGTCGAAGCTTCGGCATCGAGGCCTTTCGCTTGAGCTGAAGTAAACATCCCAGCCAATCTAGCTAGCGCATTTTCTCTCTGGTCTCGACGTTTCAAGTTCCTTGACATACGAGGGAGGCTGGAGGCTTTCCTCCTTTGACGCCCGTTTCTCGCGTGTTCTCTTTGTCACTAGATCACGTCAAGGATGTAGCCTCGAACGGTTGATTCCCATGTTCTTTCCTTTGTTTGTTATTGTTCCAACGGACGTCGTTAAGCCACCAACGATCAGCTAGCCCAATTAGCGGCCAGCTGCAAAAAAGAAATAAAAAGAAATACCTCAATGCCAAGAATGGGCGCTGTCGAGCGGCCGAAGATGGCCAGATTCTCATCGCGGCCGACGCTGCAGGAATATTGTTCCCTGCATTCAAAATATTGTCTCTTCGGCGGTGTATCGCGCATGAAGCTGTTGAATTTCCGGCAGGGCTACCCCCTGACGGGAGCTAAAGAGTGCACGTCTCGGGCGTTAAAAAGATGCGACGGGACCGCGGTCAATGCGATATCGGATTTTAGCCAATGGGGGAAGATTTCGGTATTCCTCTCCCCAAAAACAACAATCTGATATGGCTACATTGGTGCTGCAGTCCAGCCGCACAAGCAAGGGTCGGGGCAAGAGGAGACGAATTGGGCGTGAAGTCTGTTCCCCGTGCCACACTAGCTCTGAAGATGGTTAAGACGTACACGAGTCGCCGGCCTGACCTGACATCTAGTCGCCAAAACCGCGAGACTATCGAAGGTAGCCTGCGGACCAGGAGTCGGCCCCCATTCTTTTTCTCCTAGCATAACGCATGGCTGGGCCTTTGTTGATATTGGAAATCCCGTCCACCCTCGCCTGAGCGCAGGGTCTACCAACCACGTGAGGACGACAGATTTAGGTATCATTAACCGTAAGGATCGCTAGCTGGCTGCCACACAGAATCTGGTCGCGGAAGAACGGCAGGCTGCCCGTCCCAGCAATGTGGAACGATCCCGAGAGCCAGGAACCTTCCAGACTAGCCGATGCTTGATGGGATTTGGCAGGCGGCAAACAAAGAACATCGGGAAAGATGTGGGCTCAGAACCCCGTTGATTTACGCTTGTTTTACGGTTATGTATCGTCGATCTCTGGTTCTGTCCGGCGAGAGCAAGGATGTCTCATCACCAAGTCCACATAACCATTTTGCATCTCCACGCAGAAAGTCGACATGCTATTTTGAGGCTCCCACGATGCATCGACAGTTGATGACGAGACTCCTTAAATTACGACGAGTGTACGGGAGAGGCTGGAATTTCTGTCCCAAATGGCATGATGCCCGGTAGACTGTGAGCTGAGAGTGCCTTGCCGGATGCACAGACAAGGGCGGTTAGTCGAAAGGGCGCCAACGTTCGCGCGGCGCGTCCGGTGGCTTATTGAGCTGAGCTACTCACCATTTAGGCCCTATCCCGAACTTGCACCGCCGGGACTCTGTTGACATGGAGACTCCAGTTGCAGCGAACACTGACGGACACAAGCGGCAAAACAAGAGCTGAATGCATTCATGCCCGCGCTGTTGGATTTGATATAAACCCTTGGAGGTTCCGGCCTTTTGCTCATCTGTCTCACTCTTCACCCTCACTCTCAACTTCCCTAGCACCTCCAGCTTTATCATCGGCATTTTCACTTCTGGGATTTTCATCACAGCTTCGAAACTCTTTGTCACCATCACAATGCGTTCCGCCGTCATCATCGCTGCCGTGGCTAGCATGGCCACGGCCAACCCCGTCGTTGTCCGCGAAGCTACTTTCCAGGACGGTATCGACCTGAGCGTCTTCGATGTGAGATACTCAGCCACATTTCAAAAATCTCCATACTTGAGCTGACCCATTACATAGGCTGCACCCGCGGTTACCAAGACCGGGCCGGCGGTTGGTGCTGTGAGCGAGACGCCGTCCTACAACAAAGCTGCCGCGTCGGCCGCCGCTGTTGCGGACGCGATCGAAAACCCGATCTCTTCCTCCGCCAACAACTCGACTCTCAAGGCCCGTTCCGCTGCCGGTGACGCGGCCATCGGCGACCCTAGCGGTTGCTCTACACTGGAGCCCGCTGGATCCGGCGGCGTACAAACCACCGACAGCTATAACGCATTTATGGTCAACCAGACGTTGAAAGACATTGGCAACAACGCCCCGGTTCCCCAGGGATACCAACTATCCTTCTCGGGGAAACAGGGCTCCACCAGCCAGAACGGTTACTTGGGGCTTTACACCTTGAAGTCCTTCGACACTATTCTCTGTCAACAGGTATGTTGGATTCTGAAACGCAATCCATGATTGGAGCTGACAGTACCAAGAAATGCGATGCTGCTACAGCTTGCACTGCCTTCAATCTCTACATCGAAAGAGATCCCAAGTACACTCCAACCTCTGCCTGTCAGAACCCCCCCAGCACCATCAACTACAAGTGCACGCTCTGGGGACTGGCGGTCACCTCAGATACTGCTACCAACAATGGCCAGTGGAGACAGCAATTCCACGTCGGTATCACGGCATCCAACGGTATGTTACCTTGCTTCCAAGCCCAGAACATCAATCTAACGAAACAATAGGCTACGTCAAGAACGTTAAGCCTGACGCGGCTCCCGGCTTTGACGGCCCTACTGCGTTTGGTGGTGCAATTAACGCCCCCGACAAATCTTTCATCGGCTCCAAGTACTTTCCCGGTCCTTACGACGCCAGTCAGTGCACCGCTGCTTGCCAGGGAACGACCCAATACGACCGTGATCACCCTAATGCTGACGGCACCTATGACGCCTGCAACTTCGTCAACTCCTACGTCCTTAGCGAGAACAACGCGCCTCAAGGAACTTACTGCGGCTTGTACACCAAGTCTTGGGACAAGAAATACAGCACCAACTACGGCCAGTACCGCGGCAACGACTACTACTCCGTCTCCTCCAGCTACGGCTGGACCCTCAACCCCCAGGACCCTGGTCACATCTAATGACATCGCCCTGAAAGTTGGATTGGCAGTGGCCTGTATTCTGGGCATTGATTGATATGCTTATGGTGCCTAGGGGATCATTTGATCACATTCTTTGAAAGATAGACGAGTTTTAGAATGCTTTTATTTCGAGCCCTATGTATTTGAGTCTAGATAATGATGATTTCCTTGTTACCTTTATACACCGTTCCTGCAACAACTATTATTTTCAATCCATGACGAAGAAAGTGTTTGGTCTTGAACAGGCTTGATTGCGACTTTGGGTTGTCAAGCGAAGCCCTTTCGCATCGTCAACTTCCATAGCATCATTCCAAAAAGCTCAGCATAGATAGACCTTCCACCAAGTCTTTCGCTGCTTTGTAGTCAACATGAACTGCGCCAAGTTCTCTCGTCGCTTAATGTCAGTCTCGAGCCAGTCGCGGTAATTGGATCCGCCGGGATATGCCTGGCATTTCTTGCAGAGAGAATCAGGCACAGTTGTTCGGAAATGCTTCGTACGGACCCAGCCGCAATCGTTGCCGGTCAGCTTTGCATTCTCACAGGGAAAATGGAACTCATCGGTTATGTAGTTGATTGCGTTAGGGTGGGAATTTGAAGGCTTTCGCTCCACCAGGACTGTCTGAGGTTCCTGGCAGGTCTCGCAAGTGGCTTTGGCAAGTTGGCACATGGCTTCTGTATGACGGGTCCTTAGGCTTCTGTTTCCGATAGACCTACTCGGGTGTCGACTGATGTTGAGATAGAATGTTGCTTAATGATGAAGATGATTGTGAATAGAAAGGTCCAGCAGGCCGGCGACAAGCCGCCTTTTGACCTATTTTGCCCTTGGGCTAGCAACAAAGCATTCACCAGATAATACATCTGTTTTGTTGTTCTCGAACTATGATTGAAACAGTTCTTTGTATCCTGGAGCAAAGCACGCGATAACAATGCGTCGAGTCCGAGGAGCAGTCATGTTTCAATAATTACATTAGCATTTGTGGCACGTCTACAAAGCTCAGACATTAGACAGAACAATGCCGATGTATATAATTCGACAACTAAGAACATCGGCCAGGTAAGATCATATTTCTTGTATCCAATCCATCAAGCTTGGTCCATACGAAAGGATTTGGGCACTCGAGAATGACGAGGAGAGGGACGATGCCGGGATGCATCCAGTCTGAACACCTAGTTTGAGAATCCCTCAGCTTTTCCCGTTGCTCGCAACAAAGGCCCATTCAACATCTTCCCAGCCAGGCCTTCGTCTAATTCTCACCATCATGGTGTCCTGAACAGCCTGCAATGGCTTGGGCACCGCTTCGGCTAGGTTATTTTTGATAGGCGGCACTTGAACTCGGCCGCCTTCGGGCGTCTCTATCTCAAATCCAAGGATCAAAGCAGCCAGTGCTCCCAGAATCTCCGCGTCGGCGAAGAAGCGACCGGGGCAGAGGTGCTTGCCACTGCCAAAGGGGTTGAAGGCACGACTTTGCGCGCGCTCTCGTTCTTTGTCTACAGCCAAGAACCGTCTGGCGTCAAACTCGTGTGCATTTGGTCCCCATATAGCCGGATCAAAGTTGGTGATGATGGAGGGAACCTGGACGTTGGCACCCTTCTTCAACAGATATGACTGTGTAGTCGCCGTTTCTCCAACTGCCGGAGTGGGTGTGTAAGTGATTACAGTATCCTCGACAACCCTGCGCGTGCCGGCGTTGCGGTTAGTCAAACGCATGACCTCTTTGTATGTTGACAATAGAAGGGGAGATGACGAATTGAGCTTCGCCACGGTGAAGGTACATTTGCGAGGCCAGTGAGGCTGTAAGCCATTCTGTCCCTCCGCGGCCATTTCGTCTTGGTTCTGGATGGCCGCGATGTCCAACAGCTCCCTTCGCAGTTCCTCAACAAGCTTCGGGTCGCGAAAGACGTAGCATGTCATCCAGAAAAGCGTGGGGATTGCGTTTGTGACACTAGCAAAAAGCATTCCGAATTCGTGATCGGCAACGTCATCGCTGGGCAAGCCCCATTTGCGATTGACCGCCACGCGCCGCTTGACAACCGCGCTGGCATTGGGGATTCGATCAAACTCCTCGCGAAAGTACTTCCTGAGGGCTTGCTGAACCCTGGAACGGCCACCATAGGCTTGGCGTGCCGTGACGGAAGGGAACGGCTGCATCAGAAGCTGAGACTGGCCTGCATCGTAGTCCCTATCGTATGGATATGTTAGGGCTTGTCCTTAACAGAAGGTGGATGTCATACTAACCAGAGATCTTGTATTAATGTCGGGCTGGCTGCCAGGGAGTTTTCGTCGCCGAAGAGAGAGCCCAAGGTCGCCTTGGTGAAAGCATCTCGTAACCACAAATACAGAGTTTTGTTTTCAAATTCCGGGCCAACGGAGTTGATGGTTCGTGAGATTCTTTTCAAGACGTAAGTATTCATCTCCAGTAGATCAGGCCCAGGAGATAGCGGTGCATAAGAACGATGCTGATCGTCAGTCCACGGAAGTGAACCGTCTGTAGGAGGATGATGAAACAAGTTCATGATATTGGGCCCAAAACCGACCATCTTTTCTGCGAACTCTGCCATAAAAGGAATCAGACTTAGAGCCTTGTTCCTCATAGCGACTTGGCTCAGTTGGGGATCTTTGATGATGTACATCTTCTGGGAACCACCCATTGAGATTGAAAAGACTGGCAGGTTGGGATTTTCATGACTGCAGCGATCACACACTCTCCGCGTCAGCTGTTGTGTTTCTGATGGCCGTGATTTAAACCCCAGGATATGGCTTTCAACGTACTCGAGTTGGCGATAGTAATACTGTCTCAGTCCTAGTAGACCAATAATGTGGCCGACAACTGGTATCTTCGGCTTCAACGCCGGCGGCTCCCTCGGATCTTGAGAATTACCTCGAAGCTGGGATCCGCCGGCGAGGAGAATAGCGACCAAGAGAAGAAGCAACCATGAATCATAGCCGTGGCTAACGAAAAAGGTCCCTGCCAGACTGATGGAAGCCATCTTGATGAGGCACAGCCAGGCTCACAGAACACAATGGGACGATTAGTCTGCACGTCCTTGAAGACGACGCGTTGTGCGATTCAGTGTGGTATGTTTACTATTAAAAGGAGGTGCATTGGTCAGTGCTTGCGGTGGAGCAACCGGAAATTTGTTGATTGTACTTGTCCAGGCCCGCATGCTATCAACATTGAAGTCACACTAGGCACATACTAGCCGAAGGCAAACCTTACAGTCACTGTAAACGCTGTACGAATCAAGGGGAGCGGCGTGGGTCGGCACGATGGCGTTTGCTGTATGTCCTCATTCTTGTCGGAGTTTCACACCGACAAGAAGTCTATGTTGAGGTTCACCTAGAGGTCGCCAGAGCAAAATCTGGTGGGATATTCGCCAATTTCTACTCCGGGGCCGAGTTCGGGACCGGGCTGGTGCATCATGAAGCCGGATCAGTGCAGATGATCGCACCAATTTGTCTTATGGCACAACGCTACTGCTGCCTGCTTAAAACACCCTATTCACAACAAGTACCATGCTGCTGTTTCGAGTTTTTCTTCCTTTATTTTCCCCCTTGGTTGTTTGGTCCTTTTCCCCCCTCCTCACCCTGAAAGAAGGCCCGCAAGATGATGTCGAAACTTTCAAAGCCAGCGTAGAAGCATATGACAAAGACGATCTTCAGGAAGACGAGATGCCCCGAATTCTGGTTATAGAGTCCGAGTCTTGGTTCCTCGATCCGTCACTTATTTACATTCGGATCCTCGGACTCTCTCTTGCACCCGGGAGGATTGCGCCCCGCGCATGACAGCGATAAATACGGCTGCTGTCTCAACCAAACCGACGGTGTTACTGATGTTTTGGAAGCAAAGCTTGAATTGTTAAGGAAGTTGACTGTGAAATGTGACTATCAGACTAAATTGATGCGACCCAGCGCCTGCTCTTCTTTGACAAGCAATTCTACAGCCTCTCCATTCATGATACCGGACACATATGTCTCACCCACAATTCTGTAGCCATTGTCCTTGCATCCACGGAGGATAAACGGCACTTGTGAACTGATCAAAATAGCAACATGATCACCCGGATGAGCGTTTGCAGGACCAATGCCCAGATATCCGCGCGTCGTGACAAAGAATCGACGTCCTAGAGCATACTTCTCCACAGGAACGTCTACTGTTTCCTGAGGAATGATTGATGGTGTCTTGGCAAAGGTTTTAAGAGCTTGTTTCCTCCTGCGTTTGGCGCTCTGTTCATCGGGACTGATGATGCCGTTAATCCATTTTTTGCAGCGCGATGCGGCGCTCAGCGCTCGCGCTCGTTTATCGTCTCGGACGCGACAAGTCCAGTAAGCATCCGGCACGACTGCTGGAAGCTTGAAGGGGCGGTGATAGAGATCGTATGGCTGCGATTGCCACAAGCTCCCCAGCTCCTGGAATCGCTCCATTTTTTGAAGCCGTTCTGCTTCTGTCCAATTCTGTGGGTCAAAAGACGTTTCAAATCCTACAGCCAGCCAGTCTTTATCCTCGCCAGCACCTCTCGTGCGCCGAGACTTTTTATTGAAGATTTCAGATATCTCAGCCAATTCCACTTGACCTGGCTTAGTTGATGTCAACGGTGGGTTCGCACTGTTCCATGCTGGCGGCAGGTGAGGAAGCCATTCGTCAGGGCTTGTGGATAAATCAACGGCTTGTCCAGCGAACAAAGCGTCCCAGAATGCGCTCTCTCTGGCATCCTCACTTCCGTATGGATTCAAGTCATGGTTTTGAATCGTTGCCATACTCTTACACTGAGCGACAGCGATCATGAAGTGAGTGGAAGCCTCCCAGTTTGAGTCTAAATCCTCAGGGAATGGTTCGTGTGTTGACTCGATGGTGTCCCAAAGAATTCCATCGACAGTCATGCTTCTGAGATCATGCGAAAATGTTGGCGTACTGCTGGTGGCTTGACTTATTCCTGCAGAGTATGGCGGTAGTTTCTCTTCTGTCTCGTCAAGCCAATCCCGGAGGAATGCTCGCTGGGTTATTCTCTCGTTGGATGTCATGATTCGATCGAAGATCTCAGACATGCTTGTTTCAGCTTCGGCATCGACGCGAGGCTCACTTGGCAAGCACGTCAGCACAACTTCCCCTCGCCGAATGAGGTCTTGTATGGTATTTTTGGCATCTGGTGGATCTGGTGGTAGTTCGCTCAATATGTCTGCTTGAGATAGGGCGACCGCTACACCTCTTGTGTCCTCTAGAGCCTCTTGTGCCATGTCTCTCGCTTTGCTGTGCGTGGTGGGGTAGCCAATGGTGTTGCCGTTCTGCTGCGGTACAGCCCACCAAGGGATTGCTTCCTTGACCTCGGATTCCCGGTTGGGCAGAGGTGTTTCTCGACGCTTGAGAGACCAGTCAGGAACCCAAGATGGTCTGCCACTGAAGTCGTCATCCAGTGACCCGGAACAGTGTTGCAGTATACCTAGCCCAGGGGCTCTGACCGCTGTGATAATGGCAAATCTGTGGTACAATTCCTCCGCATCGATGCCATAATCCACACGCAGCTGCGTCGTGTCCAGCCCGGGTCTGTTCCTCAACATTCCCTGCAGAGCGTAGATCTTGTCCCTCGGATCAGTTGCGTCAAAATGCCGATACTTGGAAACTAGTTGCAAGAAGTCGTTCTGGTCGAATCCCGTGGTGTTACCTTTCGTATAGATCTTCTCGCCACCCCAGCGGACCGACTCGAGATGCAGAACGCGTTCAACATGAGGAATCGACTGGTGAAGGCTGGTTTTATGGACTTTGATCCGCCCGCATGCGAGGACAAGGTCATGCCAGCTGATAGATTTGCTACCGCAGCGAACTGTAGCTGTCATCAGCCCCTCCCCGAGAGCGCCCCAGCAGACTTCTTGAACGATCCAGACCCTGGTCCACCAAGGCCTTTTGAGAAGAACCTCGATCGCAGCCGCAGTCTCCGGCGGAACAGAAGGCATTCTGCTGTAGACAGTTGTCCTTGAGAGTACCGCTAGCTTCTCCATCGCGACGTCACTATCGTCGGCTGCTGGTCCAAGCCATATAGTGACAGCGCGAGAAGCGATGTAGAGGACACTCATGACAGACACCTGTTGGTTCTTTTCGGCGACGTCATTCTGATTGATGCACACTGCATCAACCCAGATTGTAATCTCTGCAATTGGGTCTCGGCGCTGTCGAAGGAAGCTTGCTAGGTTTGGCGTGATATTCAAAAGGTACGCCTCGTTGACTAGCACAGGTTCGCATGGTGCTTCCCCTCCCCAAGTGTACGACAGCGTCTCAAAATGTGGACGAGTGCGACCACCTACAATCTCTAGTCGGCATGCAAGCGGCTCGGTGGAATCGTTCGCGGGTAGGAGGTGAAGTAGTCGAAACTCCAACTGATCGTGGTTCAGAGATTCGTACTGGTACGGCCTGGTGGCAATGTCGTGGGTTTGGTTCTCCATTCTTTCCAGCTCAAATGTTTGTAACCTTCAAGAAGGTCATATGCTTTTGTAAATTTGAAGTCGATTATATTGCAAATCAACAGATTGTCGGTAATCAAAGGTAAGAATCCTGATTGTGGGGTTTAGGCAACAACATAGGCGGCCTCCCGCGACTCACAGCCATGACCTGATCCACCCCAGACGTGAAGGTACTTTTGTACCAACAGCTGCTGTGAGTAGTAGAAGAATTATCACTTTCATTAAAAGGGTGAGGAGTCATCTCTGAATAGTGCATGATTGAGAGAGTAAGTGAAAGAATTGAGGCGATGCTCCAATTTATCATACATTTTCTCCGGCAGCAGAGTCAAGACGAAGTTTGAAGTTTACCTGGTTGTCTGTGATCTTCGACCAAAATAGGATACTTTATGTTGAAGTCGTAAGTCTTTCTCCTCTGACAAGCACTGCGATGCTGGAGCCCTCTCGAACCCGGAACTCTTCCTGTCCCCCAACCCGCAAGATGGCAGCTATGGCATAAGAGTGAACGGTCAATGACACAAATTGGCTGGGATCGGTGGAGAAGATCTCATCCAGAACTTGCTGCTTTCTTGCGACATGACTCTCCGTGGTCTCAAACTGGTCCGCCTTCCAGAGCTGGTCTTCCTCGGTGAAGCCAGGTTCGATGATGTACTTGGGATAGGCCCCTTCGATCCATGTCTTCGAACTCCTCTTGTCACAAGTATGATCAGTCATGCGCTCTCTCAGTCCTTCTTTGATAACAGGTCTGAACTCCTGGCCTCTGCCCTCGACTAGATCGCCAAAGACAAGCTTGCTGGTCTCGAGGCAACGCCGAAGGGGACTCGTGTAGAATGACTCTGGAAAGGGAACTCCTTCAGCAGCCGTAGCAGCCTTCCAGAAAGCACCCAGATCTCTGGCCTGAGTGATGCCTGTATCGACAAGCTCTGCATCGAGCCACGTGACGACCCCATCGCCGTCGAGTCGTGACCAATATCTCTATTACGTGTTAGAAAGGCCCTTGCCGCCGTCACCAGAAGAGGCTGCTCACATCCCACTCTGCCGTCCCAACCTTGGCCGCCTGGACATTGTGGTACCCGAGGCCGTGTCTGGTTAGGTAGAGCACTTTGTAATTAACCCCATCGGGACTTTCATCGTTGAGTCGGTTGATGTGTGCCGCGAAACGGTCCCACGGCTTAGGATCCCCGCTTTCTTGACGTTGTGCCGTGTCTCCAAAGGGTTTGTCAAGCAGACCTAGGCCGGCTTGCGTCGTCGCTTTGCCTCCGGGACTGTCATCGGCTGTTTGATAGTAGTCTATAAAATATTCCGGCAGAATCGTGAATTTGTACCGAGAGATGGGGTTCGCAGGTGCGTTCATTTTTGTCGCTGCACGGGGTGCGGGGAAGATGCCCTATGAAATTCAAACTTGAAGGGCGGATGCTGAGACATGGAAAGGACAAGTTGTATGGAAGATAAGCAACGAAGAAGGCTGACTTGGCACTGATTTATCTGGATGACTCAGTCATGTTCGTCATGGCATTTGCGGGAAATACTTAGTCTCATCGAGGCTGTGCTAGGCGCACATCCGGCTGGAGCTACAATGCTCGCTGTCGTGGCGCTTTTTATCTCACCCACACAGTGTCGCCATCTGCGCAAGGATCTAGTCTCAAACGGGATTTCCAAAGCCCGGTTTTTGTGGTTTGGTATATCGTCTGCTGACAGAATATGCTATTTTGTCCAGGTCTATTTCCGTCCTCCACGATCAGAAAAATGAAAGCTAGTCACAATGGATGAGAAGAATAACGATGCTCAATCGCTGGCTCCCCTCGCAGTGTACCCCGCACTTCCTTCCTTCCGCTGGGGATATTTACGAAGGCATCCAAGAAGGGAAGAAAGGTTGCTTCACAACTTCGATACCAATTGTGACGCGGCTTCCAGCTGCTCTTGTGCTAACTCCACTGCATGTGCTGCCATGCCCCTGTCTTGATGTCAGCCATGTTCACAGTTTCTTGCTGTTGGGGATCAACTCACCATGATGCCTGATATCCTGCACCAGAGGCACCGTAATTATGTATTACCAGACCATCCCCGCCCTTCTCGGCCTCAATTCTAGGGCCGCCCTTGCGATTTGGTCTTAAGCCCACACCATGCTTTATTACCTTTAGATCCTCAGGCCTGCCGAGCTCAGGAGCCAAAGCACAGCATCTTTCCATAATCCTTTTCGCCAACTCGGGATCCACGTTCTTGTCCCAGTTACCGTCCTCGCGGCAACCACCAAGAACGATGCCTCCAGCAAGAGGACGCTGGAAGACATACGTAGTGTCGTTGTCGACACGGCGAGGCGATCGAAAGTACATCCGCTCCAGTGGCTGAATGGGCTGTTCGACCAGGACCGTTTGCCCTCGAGTTGGGTACATAGCTTTGTCTTCAACTCCGCCAAGATGATATGATCCTAAGCCAGTGCAGTTGAAGACAGCGACGACGTCGGCAGAAATGCGAGCCTCTTTGATGTGGGTAATCTGACGCCGGAGCAGAGACACGCCTCCTTGCCTACATTGTTCCAAAAGCCTGGGCCGAGTTAATCACAGAAGTCAATCTGAGTTCGAGATGGGTAACACCAACCACTGAAGGTAAATCTGGGAATTGATCACAAAGGTGGAGGGCAAGTCTAGTCCAAACACAGCCCCCTTAGGCAGCTCATTCTCGTTCAGCGAGACTGCGCCACCGACCAAATCGTCATACCACAATTTGCCAGTTCCTTCGCTGAGTATCTCGGCATCCTCAATCTTCTGGTCAAAAATCATTCTAAGAGGTGAAGTCTTGATTCCTGCTTCGGGGGTGTGCTTGGCAATTTCCTTGAACCTCTCAAAGGTAACGCGGTCGAATGACTCGAGGAGCCCATTGTCGCTTGCTGAGGAACACCAGTTTGCGCCGGCCCACGGGGAACAATAGTCGATATGGTAGTCGCCGGGGAAGTATTCTGCTAGAATGGTGATGCGCGCTGATGGATATTTACTTCGGAGGGTAATCGCTGTTGAGAGGCCGATTACGCCGGCTCCAAGCACCACAAAGTGCCTATTGTCCGAAGACGTCGTGGCCATGATGCAGTTTCTCGGTGTTGAGGTAGCTAGACCAAACATGCGACGAGACAGGAAAGTTGAGATGCCACTGTCGTTCCGGAAAGACCGCGATATGGTCCGGTCATAGCTGTGGGGTCGCGTCAAGGACAAAGTCCGAGATCGGCGTTCTTCGACCGGAAGTTGACTCCGGTTGCGGCCGTCACCGGCCTTCTTGGGTCCACATTTCCGCGGATGAAAGCATCGGGCCCGTTGTGGCAATTCCATCATATGTCGGAAGAATGAACTCCGTAAGTTTAGTATCTCTCAATTAAACACGCTGTCAGATATCCTCGTGACCGCGGGCTCGAAAGAATGCAGCGTCGGGGAGCCCCCGACCCAGGTCGGCTTCATGCGACCTGCCAATCTTGGGATGCGCTATCGTCTTTTAAAGTCGGTATTTCGCATATCAGGACCCGCTGTTCGTCATTCTCACCGACGAATCCCAGCCCCGCGATAAAACGCCAGCTCCCCTTTATGAACATGGATTGGGCCTGGGAGGAGCACCATCAACTTAGAATCAACACCTCTCCACCTGCCTAACATGAGAATCACCAACTCTGAGCCGCACTCGTTCATTAATCTCCAAGGAGGATGGCCGACTCCCCGCTTGCACCCGGTGAAAGACCTTGAGGCTGCTTCTTCCTCCTTGTTCCGTCAAGAAGATGTTGCGAAAGAGCTTCTTAGATATGGAGCTGGACTTGGGAGGCCGTCTTTGCGAGATCTGATCGGAAAATGGCTGAATGACTTTTACCAGCCGGCTGCCGGCTCTATTTCAGGCGTTCGAATCGGCGAGACAAATGGTGCATCAAATGGCTTAGCGACAATTCTTCAAAAGTTCACAGACCCAGTCTACACCCGCGCGGTCTGGATGGTCGAGCCTACATATTTCCTCGCATGCCCCATCTTCAGAGATGCAGGTCTCGCAGGTCGCATCCGAGGCGCACCAGAAGGGCCAGACGGCGTGGATCTCGACTTTCTCGCAAGCGAGCTACAACACGTCGATGAGACCTGGCCGGACAAGACTTCAGGACCGAGCAAGTCGGCGAAGTTGGGATATCCCAAGGTGTATCGACATGTGGTCTATCTTATCCCAACTTTTTCGAACCCTAGTGGGAAAACCATGACTTTGGAAAACAGGAAGAGACTTGTGCAGTTGGCGAGAAAGCATGATGCTCTACTGATATCTGACGATGTCTACGACGTGCTCCGGTGGCCGGCGAAGGAGGGTGTCTCGGCTGAAGCTCTTCCAAAGCCTAGCCCACGCTTGGTAGATGTGGACAGAGAGCTAGAGGGCACATCAACGTTTGGGAATGCGGCCAGTAATGGCTCCTTCTCCAAAATCGTCGCGCCTGGCATGAGGCTTGGCTGGATTGAAGCAACTCCCGTTTTCTGCACCAACATTCGTACTGTGTAAGCGCTTCGCCCATGCTCTCACGCTTGACAAGAAGGCTGACTTGCTTGCAGCGGCGCTACGGCTTCAGGTGGCGGGCAAGCTCACTTTTCCTCTCTCTTCGTGGAAAACATGCTCGCAGAGGGAGCCCTGACTCGGCACATCAACGAAGTACTGATTCCTACCTACCAGAAGCGCTACTATGCCATGGTCAACACAATCAAACGTGTTCTCTATCCGCTGGGCGTGAGAATTGCTGCGGAGGAGGCCGCGCAAGAGAGCAGTGTCGCTGGTGGCTTCTTCCTCTACATAACCTTTGGCGATGGCGGCGCCGACTGTGCGTCGGAAATTTCGCGGGTTTCTTTTGAAGACTTCAACTTGAAGATTGGGCCAGGCCAGATATTCGGCGTGCCTGATGACCCTTACAGTGAGCAAAGGGGTAGGCAATCATACTACAGCGGCGCAAGACTTTGCTGGGCGTGGCATGAGGAGGAGGAAATTGTTGAAGGCATCGAGCGATTGGCGGTTGTGATCAAGGGCGTTCAAAAGGCGCTGAGATAGATCGTTGTCAAAGGCGAGTTGGACAGGATTGAAGTTTCAATCGTCCCCTCAAGAATCAAGAATCGAGAATCAGAATAATCAAATTCTGACAAAGACCACCTGTTTCGGTTCGGGGCTCCGGCCCGTTACTTCGCCCGATGCGCGAGTCGCCGCCTCGGACAACACCTCCGGACGCGTCCATGGGCTCGGCCCGAACTTTTCTGGTCTTAAGCTCGCGTCATTCGGGGTTGGCATGGTGAGCGAAGCGAAAGTGCCCCGTATGTATGGTGGAAATTCGTTCACCCTGCAGTCCACATTTAGGTAATGGAAATAACGTTGGAGGAGCTTCCCCGTGGGGCTCCACTCCAAGCGCCGTCTGCTCGAGACTAACCTGGGGTATTTAAGGCTCCTTTGCCAAATTCAATTTTAGAGGTAACATCTCCCGGCCGGTTTCTGAATTGTCCGGTGATTTTTCCGGATATCCGTGTTGTGTATGATGGAGAAAGCGACGATTCCAGGTCCGGGAAATGGGGCCGGTGAGTCAGTTGATGAGCCCCGAATGCCGCCCGCATCGGGTCCGAATACCGGTGGGGAACATGAGCGCCATCTTGACCCGAGAACCATGGAACAAGGCGTGACCACGATTCCTGAGACCGATGCGGCTGCCGACGGGTTTCCTGAAGGTGGACGAGAAGCTCTCACGGTGCTGTTTGGCAGCTGGTGCGTTCTCTTATGTACCTACGGTCTGGGCAACAGCATCGGCGTTTTCCAGACATACTACGTCAACGATGCGCTTCGAGAGTATTCTTCATCCACTGCATCATGGATCACCAGTTTCATGCAATGGACCATGAACTTCTTGCCCATCATTGTACGTCGCTACTTTGATTCACAATACCAATTGAATTTTCAGCTGACGTGAAGACTAGTGGGGATTTGTCTTCGACAAGTACGGGCCGCGATGGATTCTCTTCGGCGGTACCATCACATATGTGTTTGGCATGATGATGGAGTCTTTGGGCACCAAATACTATCATTTCTTCCTCGCTCAGGGCATCGTCTGTCCCATCGGCGCGAGCGCAGTGACCAGCGCCGCCATGTCTTGCCTCGTCACCTGGTTCCATCGTCGACGCGGGATGGCCTTTGGCATCATGATGTCTGGATCCTCCTGCGGTGGCATCATCTTGCCCATCATGATTCCCAAGTTGATTGATAGGGTCGGTTTCGGCTGGGCGATACGCTGCGTTGGTTTCATGTTCCTCTTCCTCCTCATCATCGCCAACTGCACAGTCAGATCTCGCCTTAAGCCAGAACAAAAGCCAGTAGACATGAAGGAGTACTTCCGGGGTATTCGAGAACCAACCATGATGTCGACAGTCTTCGGGCTCTTCTTGGTCTTTCTCGGTCTGTTTGTTCCGTACAACTTTGTGATTCTACAAGCTAGAGCTCAGGGCATGGACGAGGAATTGGTCATTTACCTGCTGCCTATCATGCACGCCGTTGGGTACGTCGCCAATCTCGGTCACTGGATAACTCTGATTACTAACTGAGTGGAAATAGAATCGTCGGGCGCATCGTCCCAGGCTTGTTGGCAGATAGAGTTGGCCGCTACAATATCATGATCACGATCGCGACTCTCACAGGAATTGCTTGTCTAGCACTCTGGATCCCAATCAAAACTGACGCCGGAATTCTTATCTTTACAGCAGCATTCGGCTTCTGTTCATCGGGGCTTACATCTATCGGACCTACTCTCATAGCTCAAATCTCGGATATCAGGGAGATTGGAGCTCGTACGGGCACAGCGTTTGCGTTTCAGTCTTTTGGTGCTCTTACAGGCAGTCCTATAGCTAGTGCGATTGTGGATGCTCGCGGGGGTGACTATCTCGGCTTGCAACTGTTTTGCGGGTTGGCCATATTTGCATCAGCAGGTGTTTTTGCATCGGCGCGGTATTTTCAGAGTGGTGGATTCAAGCTACAAAAGGTTTGAAGGTCAGGTCGATTCTTCAAGCAAGCTATGAATCCGTAAATGCATTGGTGGTCAATACTCTGGTTTCCTGTCGCTTGTCTCGCTTCCAATGACCTGTGACTGTGTTGAGCTTTGTCAACCCATCCTTGTCCTGTCCACTCCGGCCCAAGTGGAAGAGGCCCGTTCTCTCCGCTATGGTCTTCGTCGCTGTACTCGTCGCCATCGCTCCTAGACTCTTGATCAGGCTCCTCGTCGCTGTCGTCTCGCTTCGCGTCTGTCCCTGGTAAAGTTCTTCCCAGTGTCGGCAACAGTCTCCTTGCCAGTAGGCCAGTGCACCTTTTTGGAGACAATGCGTGAAGTACCCATCGCCTCTTTCTGACAGCTACTGCCTGGCGTGTAGATGGTTTGGTGGCCCCGGGACACGGTCGATGCGTTACTGAGGTGGGAGATGTATTGGCTTTGCTCGGTTTTGTTGGGTGTCCCGGCCACGATCCGAGGGGAGAGACGAGAACGGCTGCTAGAGCTGCAGAGTGTCGTTTGGCGGTCTGGCAGGAAAAGCTCTGACGTGGAGGTAGGCAGGCGTTCAACGCCGGTGCCGTAGATGTGGTGTTTCTGCGAGGGTCTGAAACGGTCGATACACTCCGCGTTGTCAAGTAATAGGTCGTCCCAGTCGGGCTGAGGTTCAATCTTCTTTGCGTGGTCTTGGAACTTTTCCAAGACATCCTCCAAGTCCTCGCCTGTATCTTTCAGGTGCCAAGAAACGACGCGAGCCAGTGGGTCAACAGTCTTCTCCCAATCATACCCCATCAAATGCTCAGCTGCTTCGACTTTTCTTCGGACATTCCGGCAACTTTCACTGCCAGCCTTGCAGTTGGCAGGATCAGACTCGTGAAAGTCAAGCAGTGCTAGCAGGCCCAAAATTTCGTGCCCGCGGTGAACCTTGTCTCGAAACCAAACTTCGATGGCGTTGGGGCTTTCATCTTGGTGAGCCCCTTGTGGCTTGACCATAGCATCACAGGCTTCCTCTTCACTGCTATCGTCATCTTCTTTCTTGATGAGCCGTCTCCGGGTAGCGTATGTGTCGTTTTCATGAACACACTGCTCATTTACTGTCGCAGCGGAAGCCAAAAAAGCATCGACCCCGGAGGTCATGGAAGCCTGATGGCTCTCTTCGTCTGATGTAGTATTCGAGGTGAGGTCAACGACGGGGTTGAAGGACGTGGTGCTGATCAAGTCGACGTCATCCTCTGTCTTCTCGGTCTTGCAATAGGCATCTGCTGCGATGTGAGGTGGAGAAACGGAGTTCTTGTTGTGATGGGAGGGTTCTTCTGAGGAGCGATGCGTCTTGTGGCGCTTCGTATCGATGACTGAATCATAGCCCTCTCTGCGCCGCTTCGTCGTGCTCGATAACATTTTCTCCAGCGTACCAACATCATCAACCGGTTTCTGTAGAACGTTTCTCAGCTTTCGCTCCTCGCTTGCGCCGATCCCTCCCCAGACTGTGTGGACACCACGTCGGATCTCTGATATCATTTCGGAGATGGTTTCTTGATCTTTGCTCCCCAGTCACTCTGGGGCTGGGGAAGAGGAGAGCTTGCTCTTCATTGCGGCTAAGTTTTCACTGTGGTCAGCGTCGATCAGTGCAATAAAGTATGCCGGTAAAAGACTTACTCGTGAATGGTATCTTCGTAGAACGGAAAGGTTGAGATTTCTGTTGGCCTTATCTGCTTATGATCTGGCTTGGTGACTGAAGGATCGCAGGGTTGTATTTGAGAGGTCTGAAAAGAAGAGCGAGTATTTTTTTTCTGTTTTTAAAAAAAAGAAACTGCAAGTAGAAGTTCCTCAGTGGACGCGGTCTTTCCTGATTGGAGTCGAATGGCCCTCCTTACAGCTGAAGCATTTTGGTAATTTCAGATACGGAAGGAGCAGACCGAGAGGTTACTTTCCTCATATACCCATTTATCTAGACATTTGCCTTGAAAAACTTTTGAAAGTTGCCAGCCTCAAGACCTTTCTTCTGAATAAGTTAGGTAACTCATGTACCCTCATGCGTTGCGTGACTGTTCCACGAAAGGGTAATGTGTGCAATTTTACTTTTTTTCTAAGAGTGGTCAAAAGTAGATTTCTATTCATTTGTCTGTGAATGCGTGTTTCTAAGACCCAAACCTCTCGCCTTAAAGTGTGCAGGCTAGATAATCACAAAGGTCATTCGCTGATTTCAGATGCAATATCGTGCTTCAAAGCAGTATTCGTATGTTACTCACATGAGCCAATTGAACAATAAGTGTTGTTTTTTTTCCCTCTCTCCGACTGTCTGGCCTGAGCCTTCCTCAATTAGCCTGGCGTTTCTCCAACCCTACAGCCAGTGCTTAGATACGTCTACAGCAGGCTGCGCTTAGTTTTCCATCGCCTAACAGTTGGCATGGATCTTGACTCATTCTGATCTCGTCGACGTATTGTCGAACTATCAAAAAGGGTTACAAGTCTGAGACCCTTACATTTAGCGGCTGCGTCACTCAAGTACCCTGACACCTGCTGCACATGCACTTCACGCCAATTTCTGAAAATATGAGTCAAAAGATCAAGTTTCATTGTGCTTTTGTCCATGAAGGGATTTGTATACGTCATGAGCAGTTGATCCCGGCGTGATTGAATGGGTCTGACTATCTTAAGGTTCTGTCGTCGTACCTGTCATCGTGCCTGTCGTCTTCCTCGCTATCATGTTTCTTATTGTCTTAGTCTCTATCATCGATTATATTGTTTACGCAATATTATCCTATTATGGTCTCTGCTGTTGTCGTCTTCGATTGAAATCATTGACACAGAGAATCTAGCTATGCACAGCAGGATGTTGTGGTCTCTACTCCAATTATACCGATGCTGTTTCAAGATGGTTTCAAAAGATTAAGAAAATTAGACGACAGATGAAGAAATTGATGCATCAAGCATAGTATTTACGTCCTCGACGGTAAAAAGTAAGATATGTACATGAATCTGTCGTCGGTCACTCGTGTGCCTTGACTCAACCCCCTTTCTTCCTCTCAACTACTTCAACTGAAACCAGGCGACTCCTCCAGAGCCTCATCCCGGCCAGAGACAATCCCATCACCCAAAGCTTAGATCTTTCCAAAGCCAGCGGTGTTGGGGACGTTCTTGGCGTCGTTGGCGGTGACAGTGGCGGCAACGTTCTTGCCAGAGAAGCTGGAGAGAATGCTGGTGTCGGAGCCAGAGAGCGAGCCAGAGCTGCCGTAGGCGTTGAGCTGGCAGGTGTGGCCCAGGTAGCTGGAGCACTGAGCGTTGGTGTTGGCATCGGGGCTGGAGAAGACCTTGCCGGCCAGACCAGACTGCATGGCAGCAACGACGTTCTGGAAGACGTTGCCCTCGAGGACAACCTTGGCACCAGCATCGGCCTCCATGGCGTGACCTGTAAAAGAATATTAGCCATCTGTAGTTTGTCTCCTGAATGAATCCACATGGGAAGGGGCACTGTCGCTGCCCGTCCGGTGGCACTCGGCTGGACTAGGTGGTCCGTGCACCAATTGACCCACTTCGCCGAGACGGGTCCGGCACGGGGCCCGGAGGTACAGAAATCAAGCGCAGACGTTGTAGAACGACCACAACATCATGAAATGCTTCAAAAGCTTGAGATATAGACTAATACATACCGGAGTTGGCGTAGAAATAATTGCCAGAGATGTGGACGAGGCTGTTTCGGGCAAAAAACGTTAGTTTAGACATCTTAGGGCACGATGATGACGCTGTGTCAAATCGGGATATCAAAGTTGGACGTACGAGTTGCCAGCGATCTTGGGGGAGCGGCCGGAGGTGTGGTGGATGTAGTTCTCTGCGGGAAATGACGTTAGTACTTGTATAATTTAGGCTGGTGGGTATTGTGGTGAGGAGTGTCTTACTGCTGAAGGTGACCATGTCGTTGCTGCCGGTCAGGTAGACACCCCAGTAGTGGTGGTTGTCGCAGGTGGCAGACCAGGAGGTGGAGCCGTCAATCTCGTTGTTGGAGATGGTGACACGGTTAGAAGCACCGTTGCCGAGAACGATGTGCTGACGACCGATCAGGGAGGTCTTGACGTGGTCGATCCAGACAAGGTCGGTGCCGTCCAGAGAGATAGCATCACCTCCCCAGACGTACTTGGGGTTCAGGTTCGTGATGTGGATCTAGTTTCATTAGCTGAGAGTTCCGAGAACTGAGTCCTAGTCACAGACTCAACATACGTTCTGGATAATGACGTTCTTCGCTGAGTTGGTGATGCGAAGACCCTTGCCCTTAATGACACCCTTAGATCCTTGGCCGATCAGAGACTTGTTGCTGCCGACAATGAGGGGGTTGAACGGGGCCTGGCTGTGTTAGAGAAGCTTAGAAACAATTCCTGTTCGATTTCCTACCTTGTCGTAGCTGACAGAGACCTTGGGGGCGTTGGGCTGGTAGTTGGTGCACCTGACAACCTCGATATCAGTGACAATGCAAGAAACAATGTTTCAGACTGTTTACGAACCAGTTGTCCTTGTTGATAGCAACCTGGCAGGCAGCAGCAGTGCCGTAGGGTGCACAGCCGGTCTCGGTGGTAGTTCCCTCGGTACCGGTGAAGTCAAAGGTCTTGGTCAGGACAATGACGCGAGCGGAAGAGTCCTTGAGGTAGGAGGCAAGCTCGGCAGTGGTGGAAGGGTAGACGGGAGTGGCGCTGCCACCGCCAGTGACGCCCTTGGCAAAGCCTTCAGCGGCGCCAGAAACGGCGTCCGCGGCCGAGGCCAGGGGAGCAAAGGCAGCCAGTGCCGCGGAGAGGATAGATGCAGATCTCATTGTGCTAAGCTTTCGGAACGAACAGAAGTAGTAGGTACAAAAGAATGAATGTGGAGTCGGTAGTCGAATAAAGAGAGAATGTTGAAGAGCGAAAGCTGCTGAAGAAAGGATCTTCCCAAGTCAAGAACAGCCGGCTGATGTCGACGATATATACATTCTGTTGGTTCATCGTCCCTCCCTCTGTTTCTCAGCTCCATCTTAGTCTCGTCTCGTCTTTCCTTCCGCCGTTCCTCTCCGCCCCCTGAGCTGCCCTGCACAAACCCCCGCCAACAGGGACGAAGACGACAGACAACCTCATCTTACTGACAAGCTGTCTAGGCTCTAGCCCTCCAAGGCCTCAAAATCTGTAATCGGCCGAGGGCGCAAAGCAAGAACCACCCACACTACTTTCCGAAAATCCCATGGCGTGGGTGCCGGAGCCGACTTGTTCGAGGGATAGAGTGGTGGAGCCTCTCCACTGATTCGTGGGGTTTTACTGCGCTCCGAAACCCCTTCATCTACCACGTACGTTGGCGCCGGGGTTGTTTGGTGATAGCACCGGCGGCACCAACCGAATCGAGCATCAACAACAAGCCTCGCAAACGCACCGCCAGCGACTTCCATCAATGAGATGTAAAAGGAGCGGATTGCACGTCTCCGCCGGTAGGGCACGTGTAGGGGCCAAAGCCGGGGCTAGAGACTGCCATCGATGGAGCCGAGGAGCCCAGGTGCCTGGGTGCGTTGTCACGCGGTACCATCAGCGGCAGTTCGCACGTAGCGCATGCAGAAGAGACACAATTGCCCCGTCTGCAATGTCTCTCCTCGTAGGTATTTCCGCCACTCAACATGGGGTAACGCAGGCGAAATGTTCCTCTGCTGCATCCGAGGTCATCGTAGCTGGTTCTTGGCATTCCCAAAAGTCGTACCGATGAAACGGTTCGAATTTCCCGCCACGGCGCATTTGTTGGGTGGTGTCTTCTCGCATCCTTCCGCGCAATTCGGCACCTGGCATGGGGGCGCCTTCGACGGTGAGTGGTGGGCATGGAAAACCCAAGCGAACGGGGATGTGGGAATAAGCTAAGAAGCTTCTAGGCTCGGTCGCTCTCCGTTGTCATTATGTCTTCTCGAAGATGGATATGATCTGTTAAGCATAAACCCGCGGTTGGCGCATCACACACATGTCAAGGGCTCCAGTTCATCACCCCTGGCCCAAGCTCAAGCTCTCCCTTGACTTTGGGCGTTGCTTTACGCGTCGCACGTGTGCTCAGCAGGCGTGAGCCATGTTTAAACGAAAGGACTGCCAAGGGCATGGGCTGCGGATAGGGGATGATGAAAGAAAAGTAAAAGAGATTGCAGACTTTTTTTCATGCTTATCCGCGCGAGTCTCCCCTGGCCTGTTTCGAGTCAGAGTGGCACGGAAAGGCTGACTTGCTGGATGGGGTTAAAGCGGTCTGTAGTCTGGTGAGGGAAGCGGCGTGATTGCATTTCGCATACGACGCCCTTTTCAAGCTTTCAGGGGTGTGCCATGCCGGGACGAATTGCCCGAGGTTCCCAAGCCAGGATATGCATGCCAAGGAATAGATTGAGCCTCAAAGCCCAGCCCACTGAGCGAGCCCGGTTGGGAGCCACATCTCGAGCAGTCCAAGGAGAATTATCAAGCCACAAGAAAATGATGTATCCCTGAAATTGTGGATGCCGTGGTGGCGACGTCCAAAATTCTTCAATTCTTCAAAGGATCGCGCGAGCCGGTGAGACGGAACCCGTGGGCACCTGTTGTGGGAACGCAAACCCATAAAATCCCATAAAATCCCATTAACGTCCCCAAAACCCAGTATTCCCGGGCTGTTCCCCTTTCTTCAAGGAATGAGATCTCGGCTCAGAGTGCCGACCGCAACAGTCACCAGCGGTCAGATGGACGGATAGAAGCGAGTGTCAGCTCCAGAAATCAAGGCCGGCCAGCTGCTGCTTGGCTTTTGCGATCAGCATGTAACATTCCGCTGACGGAAAGACAGTCCCATAAAATACGGCTTTGTCAGGACTGCGTCAATTGCACTCAAAGTTGCAGTTCATATATTTATATTGCCTATTTGGCCAGAACCCCTTCTTCCTCCGCCCTACCGCCCTTTTTGTGGGAAGAAAAAGCAATGTCCCCCACAGTCCGGACCATCTCGCAATTCCTGGGCTCATACGATTTTAATTCTTTTAGACTTCGCCGGGGACTCGATTCTCGACAAACTCTCTCTCGCGGTCCAGAATCTCGCGCTCTGCCTTGGTGCGGCCCTCCTTGGGGAGATACGAGAAAATGATCGGGATGAGCGCGGCCAAAATGGTTCCGAAGCCGGTGAAGGCACCGGTGGTCGCGAACCCCTTGACGAAGCGGGGCCCGTCCGAGGAAGGCCACAGTCGGCTTCCATAGACCGCCGAGAGATTGCCGACGGAGTTGACCAGGGCCACGACAACTGCGCGCTTTTCCGCAGGGAGGGCGATGGTTTCCGAGGTCCAGTTAAGCATCAGCGGCAGAGACGTGTACAGGCCTGCAATGTAGAAGCACAGCATGGCGTAGACCACCTTGGGGTTGGAGACTGTCACGCAGACAATGGTGCAGATGAAGCTTAGACCCATGCATCCTGTAATGTGCCAACGGCGGTCCCTGGTCTTATCCGCAGTGTATGAGAGGACGACCAAGAACACTGCGCCGACCATCCAGATAGGAATCGTCATGTACTGGGCCATGACCGAGGTGTATCCCATCTGCTTGACAATTGTGGGAATGAAGTAGGAGATGGTGCAAGAACCCAGGTCCATGGTGAACAGAACCATAAAGATGTACGTCCGGGGGTCCGCCAGAGCCGCCTTGAGCGACTGCCAGTGAGTGAGCTTTTGCCCATGTCTGGCCGCGGTGGTATTACGGTCGTGGATCATTCGGACCACGGCAAGTTGACGTTCCTCCAATGAGAACCGCTTCGTGGTCTCGGGGAAGTCGAGCAAGATGAACTTGAGGCCGATAGCGAATCCGATGGTGCAGACGCCTTCGATCAGGTAAAGCCATCTCCATCCACGCATACCCCGGACACCTTCCATATTTCCAGTGATTGCACCAGCCAGGAGGCCGCTCATGGCGCCCGAGCAAACGGAGGCGGTGTAAAAGATCGAGAACCGCTTTCCTAGATTGCAATTTCACGTTAGTACCAAAGATGACGTGGGCTGGGTTTGGTGGGTCTTGTTTGGAGCGTTTCCGCCGCGGCAGATTGCTCTTCCCGACGACACCGGTAAGAGTACTTACCAATTTCAGCCTTCTTGTACCAGCAAGTCATGACATATAAAACGCCGGGAAAGAACCCAGCCTCGATGCAACCAAGGAAGAACCGTAGAGCCAGCATTCCTTGGTAGTTCTTGACCACAGACATGACGGCGCAGATGGCGCCCCAGATAATCATGATGCCGGGAAGGTACCACGACGGTCGGGATCTTGTGAGAATCATGTTTGAGGGCACCTCGCAAACTAGGTAGCCAATGAAGAAGATGGATAGCAGCATGGCATACTCTGCGTGGCGTTAGGAGTCAGGCGTGGGTATGAAAGTCTCTAGACACTTACGGTCGTCACTGAGATTGAGATCGGTTCCCATGCCGGCAACTTTGGCATTTCCCTAAAGGTACTTGTCAGAAACATCCTTGTAGAGGTTGACAGGACGAACGTACGATATTCTGCCTGTCAATGTACGCTAGAATGTACATGAACCATAGCGTAGGGCCTATCATTCGTTAGAGTTAAGGTGCGGCCTGGGCTCCAGCTAATCACGCCTTACCCATGTACATGTCCAACTTCCTAACCAAGGCCTTCTCAGCCTCAGAATCTGGAACATAGTTCTGCAATGCCTGCTCCAATTCCAATTCGTGCTCGGAAAGGTTGACCTTGGCCGTGTACGCCTCCGCCATATCGGCGTTATCGTTAGCATCCTTCGCTGTCTTAATGTCGGCCATGGCGGGCAACGGATGGCTGTGGCCGGAAAACAGTTCGGGGAAGATGCACAACTCGACCAGTCACAGAGCCGGCTAAGCAATACAATCCAAGAAAAGAAGGAACGGGAGCATCCTTATGTTATATTCTCTTATCGATCCTAATTATGGGCGATCGTCTCGGCATTTCTTCTGCCACCGTGCACCTCTGAACATCTTGCCCGCAAGCCGTCGTAGTTGGCGTATCTGCAACCCCGCTCTGTTATCTTCGCGAATGCGACTCCTCCAAACTCAGAAAACCAGCGGCGCACAGGTGCCGGGATAACCCAAGACAAGCCGCGTTATCTTCAACCTCGGGGGGACCAACAGATGCCTTGGCTGGGCGACCGGCGAACGTTCAAACAACGTCCGTATCTCGAGTCCCACAGCTCATCAACCCCGCGTTTCCACATTCCAGAGATACGGTCGTGATCAGCGGTGGGTTTATCGGCGTGCCGGGCAGACATACTGCTGTTTCCGTGCTTTTTTTCCTTCGCGCGGCGAGTCACGATTCGTGCAATTCTGCCCGGATATCGACAACCAGCGACTCAAAGTGGGCCCGGGGCGGCATCCCGGCTGGTCTGTGCCCCGTGTCTTGACCGGCCCGGTTCGTGTGGGATGCCAAGAGCTGTCATCCAACCGGCGTTAACGGTTGTTGCGGTATGCATGCAAGATTGAATGCGAACTACTGCAAGTCTACGAACGCCTAGACTTTTCCGTAGAGACCGGTATGTTATCTCGACTTCATCCGGCTTGGGTTATCAAGACTGAAACGCCCGGACACACAAGTCATCGTTATCTTGGGTGCCCAGACTTCGTACGGCTCAAGAGAGCTCTGCAGTTCTTACTTTGATCTCGGAAAGTGTTGAAGCAAACAGACTTTGCCTTGACGGGGATTCAAATCATTTTTGAGCGAATTTTATTGTCATTCAAAAGGTGACCGCTACAGGTAATCATTTGTCCTTTGATCAAAAGACTAGGTCTAAGAAGTTTCCTGGGAATGATTACGTATACTATGTCAAATTCCTGAGCAATTGTTGATGTTCCATGGGGCAATCACTGCCTATATTGTATTGAATATTAGCTTAAGCCGTCCGAAATTTAAGGACAAATTTTCTGGCGGAGAGAAGGAAGAGGGTACTTCTCGGACGAGAGCCAGATGTCAAAAGTGAACGAAAGAAATATCAGACTCATGGAGTCAGAGAGATGCAATTGGCAAGGGAACCGATGTTCTCCACAAAGCATCAGCGGGAGTGTTACTTGGCTCATTGAGCTTCTAGGCTATGAAAACATTAGCAAGCTGGTCTTAGTATCTCGAAATCTTGTAACCAGGATCTGCAACATTCTCTTTCTTTCCTCTTGTTTTGTCTTTCCTTAGATGCTCGCCGCGATGAATCAGCCTATTCCTTAGAGGAATGAGAGAATCCGTGGAACAGATCGAATATCCGCTATTCAATAATGTCGGCCCAGCGATGATCGAGTTACAAGTTTGAAATGTTGGCTAATGACGTTTGTGCTCATTGATTAATTCACTATGTGTGCTTCAATGACAAAATTTCATCATCGGCACAGAAGAAGAGAATTAAACACCGAATAAGAAGCTTCCCAAAGATTAGAATCCCTGTGAAGGCGGCACTTCATGTCGCAGATGAGGACAGATTGGGCAGGCGCCGGCCTAGGAGGGCACCTCAAGATCGTTCCTTCCTTCCAATCTAAGGTAAGTAAGTTCTCACCCTCCGCCCCACTTGAAAAGTGAATTACCAACTTTCACCGTTTGCTTTCACTATCAAAAAACAAAATTCTGCCCGCAGGCTTCGTGTCTTATTTGCAGGCATACAACTACCCGACGGAAATATTCTACGAGACTGGTTCTACCCAAATCTTGCCATCCGCATTGATGAGCTTCCTGCCGATTACACGATAGTCGCCTCAGATCTGGACTGCCATTCCTCTTCGAAAGGAATGCCCATAATATGGAGCCATTTCCATCTCAGGCGTCCTCGCCGTCAGTACGTCATTACTATCGCTCCGTCCAATAGAGGTGTTCTTTTTTCTGACTTGAAGCAGTACAAATTGACGAAGAAGGATCGCAAGCGTTCATCCCGAAATCCCCATTCCGATGCGTTCCCGGCGATCATCTTGCTCGAGACGGATAAACCCGACTTTCTCGGCTTTCCTGGTGCCGATACTCTTAGCAGCAACGTCGCCGCTGGGGATGCCCGCGAAAGCTTTTCCTGGCGTTTCTCTCTCTCGGTCCCAAATTTCGATCATTCAGTCTTGCACCTCGACCTTTGCATGACAAAAGGCGGCTGTGGCGGGAAACGGGTGAACACCGTTTTGCTCAGCATCGACATCCCAGACACCGAAGTAGCTAGTATCCGTCACAGTTACCTGAGCACTGGCCAAATCACACCTATGTATCAAGAGTGTGACCAAAATACCGAGGCAACACTCAGCGCCAAGAATATCGAAGTCGAAGTCAAGCAGGTTTTCCTACGCTGCCGGCTGGGACGCTACGATATCCAGCTCTCAGCTCCTGCCAAATCCCTAGTGCAACAGATCAAAGAGCAAATATCGTGCGTCAAGAAGACGGACCAAACTGGCTTTACTATTCGGCTTTTGCTTCCCGTGCCCGAGACCGAAATCAGCCATCCAATCGAGGTATGGATAGCGCTCCTCTTGGAAGCTTATTCTCGCAACAAGCAAAAGGGTGGACCATTCAAGCTCTACAAACCCAAAAGTCGAGATCTTTTAAGATCCTCACGCCGACCACACATTGTTTCAACCAGGGCTACCCCTCGATTCTGGTCGAAGGAGCAGCAAATTATCTACCTCAGGTACGGCATCGCCACCAACTGGGAACGGAAAAGCGGTCGAGACGAGGCTGTTGGGCTCTCCATGTCCCCAAATGCTGTTACCATTCCTTCAAGGTTCCATGATACCTCAGGCGATCCCACCGAGTACATCCTGGTTGTTAAAACCGCCAATCTAGATCACGATTCGCGGCGTCGATTACCCTGACTTCGTTCGAAGGTTCGCATTCAAGCCACCGTCGAAGTTACACGCGGTGTTTTCCTCCGCGACGAGTACGGTTTCCGAAGTTCCGCTTCTTCGGAAGTTGTGGACTTGGATTTGAGTGAATGCGGACGTGATCTGCGACACGTGTGCACTTCTGCTGCTTCAGCAGTTGTTGGCCGTGATACAAGTCCCTCAAGAGGTAATCAGCTTAAAACCATGCAGCTGTCACGGGCTAGAGCCCGGATTGATATCTCCGGCTTCGCCGGAGCAGTTACCGAGATCCGGCTCCGTTGGACCCACTATTCTGCCGCAGTACGCCGCCTAACCCGGCCTGCTTCACCGCTGTTAGGTGCCTACCCTTGT